TTTGTGCATGAACTATATCTGTCAGAGCAGAGGCAAAAGTAAAAGCCTGGTCATTGGCATCCATACTTTGGCATCTAATTCCCTCTGCTCTTTTCCCCTGTTGAAGCAGGCACTGCTCCCTAGTCTCTAACTCCTGCTATCACTCCTGCTTTCCTGGGGAAAGTGTCTGAGTAAACCTTTGGCCTCCCACTGTGGCTCCGTATTGTCCTTACCTCCTGTTTCTCACGTCTTTGGAGGATGAGTGACAGTGAGGGCAGGGCTGTGGTCATGCCTTAGCCCTGACATCACAGCAAGCTGTGACTCCATTTTAGAGACTTGCTCCAGGCGGGTCCAGCCCCTTTTGGACTGTTACAGACATGAGGTACCTGTTCTTCCTGGAGCCTTTCATCTCCACCCTGCAGTTTTTGCAAACTAGGACTCCAGAAGAAAACATACGACTATAAAGTAAAAATATACAGGCCTAGGGTTTTCTAAATCAATAAGGAGAATAGTCAGAAGTCGCATATTCCAGTAAAGCACACGCCCATACTAGGTTATCAAATTGACCGCTCAGCTGTCTACCTGAAGCCTCACCTGCCTGCCCTCGGGTAACAAGGGCTTCAGCTTCCCAGAGAGGGCATGTCCTTTATTTGGACACAAGTAAAAGGCCCATGGTGGGTAAAGGTATGAGCTGTCACAGCGCAGCTCAAAGTGTGGCCCCACCACCTGGGAACTTACAAATGCAAATAAGCTGAGCCCACCAGGAACCTACGACCCAATTAGAAACTCTGGGGGCTGGGCCTGGCCCTCCTCATTTCAAAAGCATCCAGTGGTTCTGGTTCATTCTAGTGTGACAACTACTACTCTTTCAGATTCTAGGGTATGCTACTTATTTGAAAACTGCTGATAACTTTCAAAGAATTTTTTTCTTCCCTCAGTATTTTCTGGGATCTAAATCTGTTGAGATCCAGGTTTAGCCAGAGTCACCCTACACCAGTTTGTTGTTATGTAACTAAGTTTGTTGACATTAATTCAAAAGCTTGAAATCTTAAAAAAAAAATTGAAGAGGAGATAATAAAGAATTTAACTTGGTTTATGGAACTATCATAACTATTAAAATTCTCTATATGACCTGCTCACCATATTAAAATGTCAGACTGTTTAAACACGGCATAGCCATATATTTGAAATATGTTAGATAAACTGTGTTTATTTTATTTTGTTAAATGAACATGGCTATCTCTTTACAACTTTTAAAAATGTGAACATTTCAATCTTTTAATCCTTCCATAACCATGGGAGCATATTTTTGAAAGGAATAATCAAAGTGAAGCTGTTTTATATGTTATCTACTTTCACCTACACTTATTTACAACTTATCTCAGTAAGACAACTGATGTCTAAATAGGGAGCAAACTCTCCCCATCGTGTGGTGTGTCCCTTTGCTATTGCATATGCTACAGGTAGCAAAGAAGGAAAAGTGCCCCCCGATAGAGCCAATGCCCCAGGGGAGCAGCGGAGCTGTACATCATGTGTGCAGAGCTGACAGAATGAGCCCAGTGCCAGCACATCTTTTTTGTTTGGATGGACACTTTTTCCAGGTGACAGAAGTTACCTGGTAACAGCAGTAACTGAGCAGATTGTGTGAACAAGATGCAAAGGGAAAAGAAAAATTTTAAACAGAACACATATCATTTATGCAACAACTCGACAATTTACTATAATTATAATAACTTTAATAATCTGATAACAAGTAATTAGGAAATGCCAAGAAGCAGCAAATATCAAGTTGAGTAAATGACAAAATTGCACCAGATTTTTTGCAGCGATTTACATGTTTAATCTACACCTATAGCAAAGTTGCTTTTACAGATCAGCCCCTGGCTCCCTGCTATTCAGAACATCTGATAAGGTCCTTCACTCTGGCTCATAAACCTTCTTTCTAGTTAAATAGTAACTCAGATGAAAGACATTCCTTTCAGCTACTGTCAGTGGAAAAACCAGCATTGCCCTCTGCTCTGCCTTAGAATTATTCAATTTCTTCCCAATCCATCCATTTCAATTTCCTCGCAATATTTTTCTCTCCACCCTCAAGCCTCTTTCATTTTTCCCCTTACCTCTGGCTCAGAAATTTTTCAGAATTCCTCAGGAAAAGGAGAAGGTTTGATGCAGGATATATGGAACAAATCCTGAAATACTGTAAGGTTCCCAGGCAGCTCAAGGGTCCAGCTCCAGGGACCCTGTGGGTGTCTCAGGAGGGAGAGGTGTTTCCCTTCTCCCTCATCCAGCCCTTCTTCTCTGCTCCTGAGCCTGGAGCTTGGCTGTGCTCTGGCATCCGTAGAATAGTCCACACCACCTCCCTAAGTGGGGAGTATAAAATATACTTTCATTTCCTTTGTTACCCAAATTACAACTTGGCACTTACCCCTTCCCACATCCAAACTTGGGGTCTTCAGTTGGCCCCCACTGAGGATAATTCTCCAAGACACAACCTTGTAGTGTCCTGAATGAAGTTTCTCTTATGTTTCTCCTCCATCCCTTCATGCCACGGGAATACACTCCCTCCTCATAGCCCTGTTAGTAGCTGCAACTGCTAACAGGGACGATGAAGAGGAATTCTCTGTTGAAAATCGCTAGTTATGGTATCAGGAATAGTTCTTCTCAGAGCCAGCCTTAGATCAGGGTCGCACCCCACCTCCCTTCCCCTGCTCCCCACTATTGAAAACCCCTCAGGCTTGTCTGTGTTTTCCAGACTCTAGCACCCAATAGTTATTAGACCTAGAAAGAGAAAGAGCTCCCCAAAATCCTCAGTCTAAGTCTCCATTCCTTGTTTGAGAATCTCTTTTCCCAAGATGGTTGAGAGGACGAATGTCTATTTCTTACCCAGTAAATCTCACCAAACCTCCTTGGTGCCCAATGGCCCCCAGTATACAACCACAGCAAAGCATCTGTATAGGTGGGTTATTAAGCCTTAAGTTAATTCCTAGCAGAGGATGGCCACAGCTCCAGCAGAATTCTTCAGGTGAGCTGTCCTGTCGTCCTCTAAACTGCTCCATCGCCCCACAGAAAAGCTTTTCTGCACATGTATTCTAGACCACACAGCCAAGGGAACATTTTTTAGATGCCCCCTAAAGAACAGGTTTCACAGACCTATGCTTAAGCTCAAATGTTCCCCTTCAATGCATAGTACCTAACAGAAGGCCTCACCCCCAGAGTCAGAGAAACCAGCACTCAGGTTTACAGGAAATCACAATTTTCTCCAAAGCAATGGCTGTGTACAAACTAAAATGCCAAATCAAATAATCTCCTCAGAACAAAGGAACAAGCTAGCCAGAAAGGTGAATTCACATACTCTATTCTTCCTGGGCAGAATCATGTGAAATTTTATATATATATAAAGTAAGGAAGTTACTATGCAGGGAAGAAAAGGTGGCTGTATACCTAACATTTTCCTCTACATGTGTATATAAAATAGACAATAAAAGTGATCTTTGTACATATACATGCTATAAAGTATAGGAAAAAAATCTTCATTAGAATGTAAAATCTCCCTTTTTTAGGAAGCAGAAGTCCCCGCCCTCACGAGGGCCATTGGATCCTCACTCTGCCTTTGAGTGGGTGCCCAGAAAGTTCATAATTGTTCTGTTTGCCCTGCACTTGGGCAGTGCCCTCCCAAAAGAAAGGCACAGCTTTTTCTGATTTGTGTGAAGGCCCTCTATTGGCTTTGAAGACAACCTTTCAACTTTTTCTTAAACATCCCTCTAAAAAGTGATGCACAACCTCCTCCCCCACCACTACATGATACACACTATTCTGAACTCTCTTACCTTTCTTCTCTTTTTCTTTCTCCTCCATTTTTGCTAACAATATCCCTCGGGAATTTTATCTATCAGCAATACCAATCTATGTTTCTTTTTTTTTCCCACAAGACTCTATGGTATTCCATTGTGTGACTCATATCAAAGTTTATTTAACAAGTTCCCCTTTTGTAACTGATGGTCAGGATTTTAGGAGGACAGAGGGGAAGGACAAGGATTATTACACATAATACTGCAATAAACATGTTTATGTGCATTTAATGGTATTGTTTTATGACCATGTTCATAAAGCAAATTCCAAGCAATGGAATTTTTGAGTCAAAAAGGTATGGAGGTTTTAAATTTTGACAGATATATTGATTTATAGCAATTTATATTCCCAAGAATATCTATATTCTCATATCCTTGTCAACCCTAGGTTTTATCACACTGAAGTTTCACCATTCTGATAAACAAAATATATCTCATTGTTTTGATTTCTATTTCCTTAAATATAAGTGATGTCTCTTTCACTAGTCTGTGGTCACTTTTATTTCTTTCACTCATTTTCCTATTGAATTACTAATTTTTTTACTGAATTGCAAGATGTCTTGGTAAATCAAATCAGTTATTTTGCCATTATTTGCTGCAAATATTTCTTCCAGTGTGTCATTGTCATTTATCTTTCAATTTTACGCAGTTTTATCCAAAGCAATCAGATTCACAGGTCATTTTCCTTATCAATTTTGTGTACGTGCAACTTTTAAATAATAATTTTTCCAGATTCTACCGAGTAAATTTAAGACCAGCAATAACATCTTGTTGATTTCAGACTCTGCTATGTCTTTCAACGTAACAGTGCTTGCACTGTGGATACTCTAATAGTAAATGATGAACACTGAGTCTTTTGAAAGGATCAGAGGGCTTTTGCCTCAAATGTCTCCTCAGAAGGGACAGATATGGGAATCAGAATTCCTCTTCACAGCCTGAGACTGACCCAGACTATCCAGTGGATGGAGACTTCCTTATAGAATCACGTTCCTTATAGAAGTAGCCACATTTTCAACTCACTCAAGTAGTAGATGATCACATTAATTAAATGCAATATAATTTATGCTATTTGATAGTTTTCTCTTTGTATTCAAAAAAGATAGAAGACTTTTCTTTTTTAAAAAAAAATCAACCTAGTCATTAACATTTTATGCTTAATTTTGTTTCTTACAGACAACTTCAAAAGATGGTCCATGATATTAAGAACAATGAAGGTGGAATAATGAACAAAATCAAGAAGTAAGTTAGACGCCATAGCTCTGTATGAATAACTATTGACATAATGAACATGTAAAGAACATTTTATATAAGCCTGTGCTAAGTAGAAGGAAATAAGTATTAGTACACTTAAAAGTAAAAGATCACTTTTCCTAGTGTTTTCAGACCTCAGAATATAAATGAGGCTTAATCTACATAAGGGACCATTACTTGTGAGGCAATGGACATCTCATAGGGAGGAGAACTTGTTTTCATGTCCTGTCCTGTGACTGGGAGAGGTGTGTGATTATTTTCATTTCTTATTTCTGATACATACAGAATCTCATTGAAAGGAGAGGGCCCTGCCAGTCATTGTTTTCATCAGTTGTAACTTTAGATTAATTGTCCCACAGTTGCTAATTTTCCATATGCCAGTTTTCTCATTAATGAAGCCTCTTACAAAATGTCTCTCTATTGCATCATCTTATTCACAACAGCCATAAAACCCAAATTTTTCCAGTTTCTGTTTCATCCTGCCCCTTGTCCTCAAAAGCACTTTACTTGACAAACCATGTTTCTTCTCAGCTTGGAAAATGGCGGCCACAGTCATCACCCCTGGTGAAGTTGACTGCCCTTTGGTGCTAAGTGACCTGTAGTTAAGCTCTCACTCTTAGCCAGGCAGCAGGTGCCACCTTGAGCGGAGGAAACATGGTTGAACACTCTGGTTTCCTAGCACAAGACCGTGACAGAGTTGTCCATGGTCGAATGAGAATATCAGTGTGGGGGTTGGTGTGCAGCTGCTGGCTGCAAAGTGAAGCCAAAACCGCACCTTTCATTCCTGGTGGGTTTCCAGTGACCCACAGTTCTTTCTTGAGTCTGTATATTCTGAGATGAGGACCTTCCTACTTAGGGGTATTAAAATACACCTCCCCCTTTTTTCTTTTTTTATGAAATGAGAGCATGAGTGGGTAATAGTTGGTTTGTGTTTTTTGAAGTTTTATTGGTCTATACCTAACACCAGGCCTGGTTTTGTTTTGGTTTTTCTTGGACAATCACTTTCTCTGGATCTTATCACAGCTCTAAGGATACTATCTTGCTAGCATATTCTGCTGGACTGCTATGAAGTATGAATGAAATAACAGATATGAGAGTCCTTGGGGAAACAAAAAGCTGAATTTCTATGCAAATATAAATGTTGATTATATGGTAAAATTACAATCTGGTTTATAAGACTTGTGGGGTTTACTTGTAATTAAATATGAATTTCTATACTGATTTTTTTTCCTCAAGAAATGAAATATTTTGTATGTCTTGCTTACATTTTATACTGCTTCTATGAAAGAATGTGATGTTTTAGTAAACAAAGTCTACTGGCAATAAAGATTTTATAGATTTTTTTTTAAATGTTAAGCAAATCATTCTTAAATAAAATGAATATTATTAAAAGAATAATTTACTATAAACATTATCCATTTTAAATAATGGATGGGGAGGTATTATCAACTTACAAAGAGCTAAAAAGTGGGATATATTTTTAAAACTTAATTTTATATTTCTTGGATGAATGAGTGGGGAGGAATTATGAATATTTAGCATGTGTTTTATGCGCAAAAAGATCCTAAGGTGGTTTTGAGAGTGCTTGAAACAGTTCCGCTTCTAAATAAGCTAAATATTAAAATTCTCAATCTGGAGACATTTATTCATCATTTTTCTAATGGTGCAAAAATAATTTCAGCCCAACTTTCAACTAAGTTCTCATTATAGCTCATTTTCCCCACCAGCTGCTAAGTCATCTATTGAACAAGTCATTAAAAAAAGAGTTCATCTCTCGGATTTCTGTCAACCAGTTCTCTTGAAGCTCTGAGCTCAGTGCTTACCCCTCATGGAGGTTGTCACTGCCTGTGCTCAGGTCATGGTCACTCGGCTCACAGGGAAGAGGGAGGACGTGGGAACTGCTGATTAATAGCTTCACTCCATGAACTAGATTAAGTCTTTCAGTGTCACGGGTCTATAAGAAGCCATACTGTCTCTGTGTTATCTCTACATCTGCTCTTGCTGTGGACCTTGACAGCATTTCTCCCCGCTGACCATTTGTCTAATGTTATTATCTACAGGTTGAAAGTCAAAGCACCCCCAAGTGTTCCTCAAAGGGACTATGCCTCAGGTAAGAATATTTCAGAATACTCAGCTGATGCTATTTACCTATTGGGAAGGAAACTCTATTCTACTCACTGATACACAAAAGACACCCATCCTAAATTTAAGAATGACCTCCTCTCCTGGTTGAGAGCTTTGAATTACATAAAGAGTAAGGTCCAGATTTCCTGTAGACCAGGACCCTGTGGAGACTGCTGTTGTCAGTTCGGACCCAAAAACCCTGCTTTGTGTCTGAGAGACCTTCCTCATGGTCCACTCAGTCTGCTGGTACTATTGTGGGGAGGAAAACAATCCAGACATGGTGTTTACTCTGCTCTGCTGTGCTGAAGTCAGTCCAGACAGTAATTCCTTTAACTATCCTTAACACCATTTATAGAAATGATGAGGAAAATGAATCTCAGCAACAACTAAGTGACCTGCCCAAGGTTAGCGCAACCTGGAAAGAGAAGCCCACCTCTAGTTCCTACTCCTCCCTCCCTTTGACCCCAGCTGAGGTGTTCAGACTTTCATGGCACATTTCCTAATATTCTGAAGGTCCCCGGTATCAGCTTCTGATTTGAACTCCACAACCTGCACTTTCATACTTTTCACAACTTCCTGTATCTTTGAAGCCCGAGGGCTGGTTTGGGAGTGAGGGAGGGGAGAACAGGCTCAGTGTCTCCAGAGTCTGCAGAGGCCATCACAGAAGTTCCACTGGTGCCTTCACAACTCCCCCGGGGAGACTAGAACTGAACAAGCCCTCTGTCTTTGTGCCCTTGGGCCTTGACGTCCAGGGCTTTTGGGTGGACCTGAGAGGGTGAACCCATCCCTGCAGGGAAGAGATCAGAGTGATTTGAAGGGTGAGGGGCTCAAGCACAGGATTTTTCCTCAGGTCAAAGGAAGATGCTGAGCCTGGGATTCTTGGGTAAATAAATGGCCACCACAGAAACACAGGGTATGGGGAACAACCCTTTGTTCACTGAAGAAGTGAAATAGGACACTGTTTGTGTCCCTGCTCTGTTGTCTCTTGGTCTTGCCTTCCAGATTACTCTAGAGATAGCTAGAGATCAGAGAGGCAAACTGACTTCCCGAGGTCACGCAGCCAGGTGATGGCTGAGCCAAGACTATGTCTCCGACTTCTGTACATTCACCCCCTGTCAACAGAGCCTTGGAAAGAGACGAGTAAACATGCAGACAAAAGAATTTCTAAGATGTTCAATATTTTGTTGCAAATCACCTCTCCCAGTCAGCCTGGATCTTGGCCTTGGCCCTATCTCCACACACTAAACCACATCCCTTGAAAGGCGCTTCAGGGTACTGGGCACTCCTGCCTCCCCTGTAGCCTCTGTAGTTAGTTGTCTTTCTGGTCCTTTCCGGTGTCTGACCCACCACTGCGGCTGGCCCACCTTCCTGCCATTTTCCTTGCTGTTTCACTGCAGTCTTCCCACTGGTTCCCACCACCAGCGCTGTAAGGGGAGACCTGGGCAGGCCTAGCAGCCTGGAGCACACACAACCTCCAGAGCAGACCAGCAGCCACACTGAGGCTGTGTGTCAGACATGCTGCTGAGGGGCGCACCCCTTTAGGCCCACGGTTGGGATGACAACAGCCTCTGCCCCAGGGACTTGGGGCAGATGATCCAGAACCCCTTGCTCAAGTTCTCCCCATGGCAGCCTTTACTGTCCTGACAGACATTCCTTTCCCTTCCCAAGATGCCCAGCCTGGTGCAGACTTTGTCTCCTCACACCTGAGTAACTCAAACACCATCCTTGTCAGTCTCTCCATCTCCAAATTGCCTCAGAACTACAGTGTCACCATGATGGGAGCCTCCTCCAGCTAGCACGGAAGCTAGATTCGTTTGCCCACTTGGCATTTTTTCCTGTGACCCTCCAGAACAGCTGTGCGTTCTGTACACGTGTGCACTGTATCATGCCCCCACCCAGCACCCGCTAAGCCCTGCTCAGGGACTGCCACTCAAGCCCCATCTTAGTGGGTGAAAAGAGGGCGCCCTTCATTCTCTTGTCCAAGGCTTCCAGACCCCCACTTCAGTTTCACCTTCCCAAACAGCCTCCTGCAACCTCCAAGCCCTCCTTTCCTACATTTCTCTGAACTTGGGGAGTTACCGCCAGGTGCTAGGACATGGGCCAGGAAAGTCAACCACTCCCTGGATTGTCCTCAGTCTAACACACGGCTGTTGGTCTAGATTCAGTCTTTTACTTCCCTGACTGGGGGGTTTAGCGAAAAGATCTGAAACTTTTCAGTCCTTTTAGTCTCAGCTGGAATCCTGGCATTGCCACATAAACACCGTGTGAACTTAGAAAAGTTTTATAATGCCCCTGAGTCTCATATTTGTTCTGGAGATAAAGCCTATCCTTCAGATTACTGTGAGTTAGAGGAAGTAAATGAACAGCAATCCCAGCGTTTGTGGAGTCCTACCTTATGCCAGGCTTTCACCCAAGCACTCTGAATGTGTTGCTTCATTTTCATGGTCTCAAAATCTGCACTATAGGTACTGCTGCTAATGTGCCGTTGAAAGATGAGCAGGTCCAGAAGCCAAGCAATTGCCTGTGATTGCTTTACTAGCAAACGGCAGCATTGCAATTGGGCCAAAGACAGCTTGACCCCAGAGCCCAAGCTCAAAACCCCGCATGTCCTGGCCAGGAGCAGACGCTGAGATGGAGCCATCGTGACCATTCTCACATGTCTCGTTGTGCCAGGTGCTGTGCCCACAGATGTGAACCACACAGCGGGGCAGCCAGGGGAGAGGTGCTTTATTGTGTGGCATGGGATTATGACACAGTAAATGGAGCATAAATCCCAAACCAGGTACATGACACAACAGCAGAGGCTTTCCCTGATCAGAGGCCCATCTCAGCTGCCTGGGGATGTGGGGGTAGGCCAACCCATACCCAAAATTTAACCAGCTGACCCAAGTTAAGTGAGAGCTCAACATTCCTAAGCATTTTACTCACTAACCAGAGGCTTTCCTGGATCCATTTCTTTGAGGTGGCCATACTGCATGGTTGCTACTGAAAACAAAAAGGATTTGGCATTGTTTTGAGGGTATATTAAGACCCAAGCAAGTAACACCGTTTGTGGTGAAGTAGGCTGCGCTACGTGCTTCACGTGTGTGATATAACTTGATTCTCAAAAGACATGAGGCAGTAGTCCTGCCTTGTTTTACAGCAAAGAAATTGAGCTATAAACAATTCAAGGACTGGCCTTTTGCCAAGCATACAGAAAAGAGGAAAGTCGAGATTTGAAACCAGGGAACATGGTTCTAAACATACCACCCACACACTTTGGGAGGCTCCCTGAAATGCGGGAGCCACTCACTGCTTAGGACTTTGCAGTCCAAGTGAGGGCCTGCAAGGTTCTGACTTGAGAAGTATGATGCTGTGAGTTAGTCACTTTTGGGACCTGAGTCTGGGTGTAGCTGGGGCTGGTGGGGAACCATCCAATAACATCTACCACTTGATGTTTTTGCCCCCTCTCCCCCCGATACACCACAATTCCTGGATCGGGTCATCCTTGTCTCCTCTAGGTTTTACCTGCATGCTCAGTGGAGGGGCAAGTTTCCAGTCCAGGCCAAATTCAGGTGAGATTTCAGCTGCAGGAGCCAACACAGAGAGGCTGACCTCCAAGCCAGCCCCACACCACTGGCCATGGGCCTCAATCAGGTTTTCCAGCCCCTCAGAGGAAGCCCTGGTTCCCTCAACTATAAAACAAAGATAGTAACAGCAGCTGCCTCTTATTACTGTTTGAGGATAAATGAAGAAATACATTTGTAACACTTAGCCTAGCTCCCAGCACATTGGAAATGTTCAATACATAATTATTATTGTCCTAATTTTCAATCACTTGACTCATTTGTTGACTCATATTTTTATTATTTTTCATTATATTAATTTTAATAACTATACCATTAAATTATATGATAACATTACATTATTATATTAATATATACTAGTGTATGTAAAGATGCCATTAATACTATATAAAATTTATATTATTACATATCATTATATTATTATTTATTAGTGCATGGAGTACAAATGCAAAAGATCATCCAGATACGAAGATAAATTAAATAGGTCTTGCATTTTAGTATAGAGAGACCCAAACAGCTTCATCATAGTACAGGGTAGAAGGAAACACATGCGACTGCATGTATGAACTGCATGTATGAACTGCTAGCAGCATGAGAGGGCCCAGAGAAATATTGATGGGCTGTGGCTGGGGAAAATTTTAATGGAGGAGGGAGCACAGGGATTTCCATGAAAAAGGAGATGGACTGGGGGAACAGCATGAGCAAGGCAGAGAATGCTCAGAAGCACAGGATGGGAGCAAGAAGACATTGGGTATCACTGTAAGTGACTGAGGAAGGCTGCCACATGGATGGAGGTATTGACACAGAACCTTGACTTGATTCCATAGGCAGCCACTGATGATTCTTAAAGAAAGGAACAGCTTCCTAGAAGCTGTAGGAAGGCCACGTTGGAGAGGAAAAGATAATGGAAACAGGGAAACTCATTAGATGACTACAGCAATGACTTCCACTAGTAAGTGGTCATAAAGTGGATATTGGCTCATTAAGGAAGGGCCCAGCAAATGCAGTTGACAAAAGCAGGGAAATATGTTCTACAAAGTCACTGTAGAAAGACTCTTATTTTTAATGGTTGTAACAAAAATATCTTGCTGACTTAAGTTTCAGCTTCCATTTATCCCCAAATTTAAGCTATCAGAAACTCAATTCCCCCCGCACTTGCTAAGAGAGGTGGCCATGTGGAGAAGTGGATTTATTTACCAGTTCTTCTAAAGTTACTTGGCAAATGCTAATGATTGCAATGCACTCTAACTTGGTACAAGACAGTCCAAAGGATAACTTAATGAGAATTATTTTCTACAATTTTGTTTTCTAATCATCAAACTTGCTAAGAGACTAGAACTAATGATGCCAACCACTAAAAAGAAATGAAAATTTTTATGTGATAGAGGTGATGGTTATTGCTACAATGGCAATCATGACTATATAAATGCATTAAATTAACATGGTGTACACCTTAAATTTCCGTAATGTTTTATGTCAAATACACTTCGATTTAAAAAAAAATTATTTCCTGTTAATGTCAGTTTGACCAATAATGTCAGTTTGACCCCACTTAAAGAATGAAGTTCTTCGTGACAATCATGTTTTTTCCCAGGGGGTGCTGCTGCAGCTGCCATTGCTTAAAATGTGGCCACCTCTTAAAATGAGACCCAAAGAGTTCCTTCCTGCCCCAGTTTTGGCTCCACAACTCCTTTCTTTGTGTCTCTGTGAGCCTCCCTCCGAACCCCCTCTGGAGATAGAGTCAGTGATCTGCGGTGGCAGGGGACAGAAGTGATAAGGAAAGCTTCTGGGGATTGAGGGAGCATCCACCATACCCTCCAGCAGCAGCTGGAGGGAGAGGAGCTGAAGGGAGAGGAGTCAGGACAATTGACGATAAAGTCACTGGAGCCACGCTGTCATCTAAGCCTGTATCAGGTTGATCTCCCACACAGCAGAGTGAATTATATTTAACCTTCAGAGGTCCGTGTATGTGATGGGACAGATGCCATGTTTATTGTACTCAAATGTGTTTTGGAGAAAAGGGTCATATTCTCCCTGGATGTCATAATTCAGATCTATTTTGCTATTCAAGAGCATAAGCTGTTCAGGAGTTGAGACCTGTCATATACATTTTCCTGCCCCTGTAGAGCCAAGGCCAATGTCTGCAGCCTGGAGCTCAAAGACAGTGGGGCAGCACAGGGCTGGGATTCAGAGCATGCGCTAGGAAGTCAACTTGTAGGTTCAGCTCCTGGCTTTACCACGTACTGTCTGATCTTGGGCAAATGACTTATTTTTTTCTATGCCTCAGTTTCCTCACAAGGTTTTAGACAGAGCTAAATGAGTACAAAGCTCTGAGAATATTGTCTACCATGGAGTACAGGATTGGCTAATTTTTTTTTAAATAAATAAGTCCAAGTTAAAACCAGAGAGGATCACAGAAGATAGCCCCTCATTTTATAGATCTGGAACTGAGGCTCTGAGATCTTAGGTGTCTTGCCCACTGTCCAACTCCTTGGGAGTAGAGCCTGTCTGACTCCCTGCCCCCTGTTCTGCCAACTCACCATCCACATATTGATTCAAAGAAATCCCTAGAATCCCCACAATATGGAGGGCAGGTCCTAATGGTAAGTTACTTTTAAGGTCCCAAAGATGTCCCTTGCAAAGCCAGGGCGAGTCATAACACTTTTCTGCTCCAGTGGGACCTCTATTTATACTTAGAGAACTGATTCTTTAAGAAAAAACAGAGGCGCTGACCGTGGGTGAGCACAGATGACTGTAATTACCATTCAAGGCCAAGTAAAGGGGACCCACGGGCAGAGATCATGGCTGCCGGGTGAGGCTGCCCGTGGACACTTACGCTTGTGTATCTGCTTCCCACATGTCGTTTCAGAGAACCCTGCAGATGAAGAGGAGCAGTGGTCAGATGACTTTGTGAGTGTTTGTTCCAAGGACAGGCGGGTGCCATTTTCACCAGGGCAGCGGGAGGTCTTTCACAGGGCTTGCTTCTGAGCCATGCACTGGACGTCAGCTGCACATGGCAGCGGGGAGAGCGCTGGGCTGGAAGGGCACTGCGGAGAAGATGGGGTAACCTCATAATGGCTGAGGTTACGGTCACATTGTGGTGCCTTGACGAGCTTCGTGTGCACGGCCTCAAGTAACACTCGCCACACCTCTGTGAGCAGGCAGCTTATCAGAGTTGGTATCCAGAGTGCTCGCCACACTTGGAAACGGGCCATATCAGTTGGCCGATGCCCCTGAGCTCCCCAGAGTCCCAGTACCACCTGAGCCCTGCCCAGGAGCCCTAAACAAACCCTGGCGCAGCGGGAGACCGTGGGACTCTCTTCAGCCCCTGGGCCATGTTACTTGTTAAGCATTTTGCGTATCGGCCCTGCTCATTTTACAGGGAAAGGCAAGGAGACGTTCTGTTACTTGCAGTTCCTAAATTCAAACCCAGGCCACCAGAGTCTCAGAAACAGGCTTTTATTTTTTTTTTAAATCTTTTTTTTAAAGATTTTATTTATTTATACAAGAACTGGGGTATCAGTCTGAGGTGCAGGAGGGTGAGAGGATTCACCAGAGAGCGCAGGGATCAGAACAGGACCAAAGACACTGCTGAGGGGAGCAGCAGGCGAGGCAGGAGAGGTCTGCCATGCCATGTGGGTCTCTTTCTGGCCGGCTGGGAATTGAACCAGCGCTGCAGAGGCTGCGGATATCTTCACAGCACTGCGCTCAACACACTGCGCCACCAGGGAGGCCCTCAGAAGCAGGCTTTTAACACCAAGGTGCTTGCTGTGACAGAGGACATGAGCACAGCTCTGGGGCCACAGAGTGAGAGAGAAAGGTCTGACCACCATGGTGACATTGAGGGTGCTGTGTCAGAATTAACTGTCAGCCTCTTTAAGGAGGTCCTTCAACCCACAGGGCCCAGCAGTCACTTCCTGTTGGGGCAAAACATCCTAAAACTTTATTTCACAATAATTATCCCTCATGGACATCAAAGTCATACAGAATGTCAACCTGCTCCTGCCTGTAAGTTTTATATCTGGAAGGGAACCAAGAAGGCCTCCACAGAACCACATCTTCCTTCTTACAGATTAGGAAACTGGGAGAAAAAGGATGAAAAGGAGTTACTCACCATCACGCAGTTACTCAGTGACCCTGCGGAATGAGGACCCAAGACCTTGGGCAGTGCCCAAACTAGAGCCTGGGTTCAGCTCTGCATTATATACACCGCCTGGAGTCTATTTAGGGCATTAGGAGACAGAAGTTCCTCCCTTCTCAAGTGAGAGAAAAGAGGTTTTACAAGAGGGCCTCTCTTTGCAAAGATGGCCTCTCTGTGGGTCACTTGGGCAGAGTTCTTTTGAGGACCCTGGCCCCTGATCTCTCAGCTGAACTGCAGCTGCGCCCCCTGCTGGCTGCACACCGAGCCACATCTGGAGCAAAGCAGAGACTGGTTTCCACCCAGAGGGAAGCCAAGGAAACCCAGTGCTCTGGCTCAAGTTTGTAAAATGGGCACCCCGTCGGGGCTCAGAAACACAAAATAAAATAAGCCTAAAGAGGTGGGGATGACCGTGCCCCAAAGTCAAACAACCAAAATTAAATGACCAACTATAACAAGAATTGACTAAACAATTATTTTTGCCACATTGGATTCCCACTGCATGAAATAAAATGCAGGCTTGTTGCTAGAGCCTCCAGGACTATGATGTCCTGCCCTGTGGGCCTGTCCAGACTACCATTTAGCCCCTCAGCAGGGCCTTTTCATCACAACCTAGGCACCAGGCTGCCCCCGGTTCCTGCAACAGGGCAATATCTTGTCTGCCTCAGTGATTTCAGTCTTGCGCATTTGGGCAAGTGAGGAAGAAGGGAGAAGAGGAAAAAACAAAGAGAGCTCCATTCTTCCTCACTTGGCTGGCTCTGCCTTGTCCTGCAGGCTTGGCTTCAATGCCTCCTCCTCAGGAAGGTCTTTCCTGCACCCCGGCCAGGGCAGAACCCTCTTCCCTTTGCTATCTGAGGTGGGGTCCTGATGGTCCCCTTACCAGCACCTGTCACCAGTGATCACCATCTTGGGTGTTTGCATATCTGCTGATTATTTATTATTCACTTTTTGTTTGTCGTTGGTCTCCCCACGCCCAGAATGTAAGTTCTCTGAGGGGAGGCTATGAGGCGGGTGCATGACCCATTCCCTGGGAAGTCATGGATGGAGCTTGTGTGTCCTTGCAGAACACGGGAGCGGTGGACACACAGGTCAGAGGACTCAAGTGCTTGATCAAATATTTCCTCCCGTTAATATTCACATAAAACTCTCCACAAAAGCTACCTCTGAACAAAATGCACGAGAAGCTAAGTCACCCTGCCTCTGGGAGAGGAACTGAGAGGCTGGGAAGAGGATTTCACTTAACGCCCTTTGCACTGTTTGTGCTTTACACCACGCCCGCGTTTTTTCAATATGAACTTAAATAAAACTTATATTTACGTAAAAAAAAACAAAAAACAGAAGAAACAGAGTAGGCTCTGAGTCCTTTGGAAGCCCAACCTCTGAGCTTGCCACGCTTATTTAAAAATAAGCCCCATCATCTACTTGAAGTTGTCATGTATCCTGTGCCGTGCAGGCCTCTACCCGCTCCTTATTAGACTTACTTTTTTTAGCTGTCAGCATTCATGATAATCTGTTGGTTATTCAATTTTTGGTGGGTTCTGTTTTCTTTTGTTTGTTTTTTTGAAGTATATTTTTCCTATGATTTTTCCTTGCTGACATAGTTTCTAACACCCTTCAGCTTAAATGGTCCCCCAGCTCCCCGCCCAGGATGGTGGTCTGGATGGTAAATGGTGGTGGGCTGATAAGTCCTGGGTGCAGAAAAATTTGCCTTCCAACGTTACCCCTGGTGCTGCCTCCCGTGGTGCTGCCCCTCCAAGCCTTGCTTCCCTTCCCCCCTGCATTGGAGGAGCAGTCTGGTCCCCTAAGGCAGACTCTGCCATGAGGTCCAGGCTCCGTCAGGCACTGAGCAGTGTCTGCACTTGCAGGACAGCGATTATGAAAACCCAGATGAACACTCTGACTCCGAGATGTACGTGCTGCCGGCCGAGGAGACCGGGGACGACAGCTATGAGCCACCGCCTGTCGAGCAGGAGACCAGGACGGTTCACCCAGCCCTGCCCTTTGCCAGGGGCGAGTACGTAGGTGAGCCCAGGCCCAGACCCTGAGCGCCATGCTAGTGGGGCCGCGAGAGGGCATCGGCCAAGGTTGCAGGATGGTGGGCAAAATTGATCCCACTTCCAACTCCTCCAAGCTGGTCCTCTGGTCACTCATGGGTAATGGCACCCAGCTGAAAGTTTTGCCTACTTGACAGGGAAGGGATCCTTCTTAAATGGGGAATGTTGGAAATGGGCAAAAACTAAAGCCAGCATGCTCCTGGGTGTTGTCCCCACCCAATTCCCAGTAGTCCCTGCCTCTCTTTGGGCTTCCTGTACACGAATTTCTGCAATTTCCCTTGAGACATCTGTACAGAACAAGGATGACCTGCAAGACCCCCGGTGTCTGCTAAGCCCATCCTTCCTCCATGTACACATCCCGATGGCTGCTGACACACTGGGCCTTGGCTGTGGATTTGTAACTCTGTGGGGGTTGGGGTGAGGAGACCTAAGCCTAGAATTAGCCTCCAAGATTAAATGGACACAGCTCAGATTGGGGGTTCAGGCCCAAGTGTTGCTTTAAGTATCCCTCAAGAAGTCTGTGTTCCAGTTTTAATTGAGGAGAGAAAGGGGCCCCTGGTGACCACAGGGACCCTCTGTCCAGAGGGTAAAGGCCCATGACCATCAACATTGCCATTAGCTGCCTCCTCACAGGGTACCACACACTGCCCCTTGCCTCATTCCACAACTGATCTATTGAGCACCTACTATGTGCCAGAGTCATGTGAAGCACTGAGCATTCAGCAGCAAGCAAGACAGACTGCTAAACTCTTTATAGTTACAAATTAGTTGATTTACTGTTGAGACCTACTTCACCCTCTTGATAATCTTATGAATAAGGTGTCCATGCCCCTTTACCAAGGAAGAGAGTGAGACTCAGAGGAGTGAACCAGCAGGCCAAGGTTTTATCAGTGGCAGAGTTGGATGGGAACTGGACCACTCAGCTTCCCAAGCCCATGCTCTTCACCACTCTGCTCCCCACATTACTCACCATATTTGGTGATGACCTTGTTCAATCATCGCAACAGCGTTGGGGGAAGAGGCTCTTAGACCCATTTCACAGTTCAGGAAACCACAGAGTGGTTAAGTGACTCACTTAAAAGTACCCTCTTCAAAGCCTGTCTTCTGTGTTTGCTACTTCTGATGGGCTTAACTATTACCTTAGGAAATCTCAGCAAACTCCAAGAGCTACAAATAAAACTACAAAAACTGTCAACTCATAGGCACAGCAAGTGGATGCTCTGGTGCCTGGGCTTGGTGTGCCACCCAGAAAGAGGCTCCCCAGGGGGCATTTATGTGAAGTTAAGCACACACCTTCCACAAGGCACAAGTGCTAGCTGAGGGCAGGAGATGGCCCCAGTGGAGCAGAGCTGGGAGCTTGACGGGCAGGGGCAGCTGCCTCAATCCAGGGCTGGACTGTTGCAGGAGGAAGCAGCAGGAATCCAGTGGTGCCAGTATGAGTGGCTGAGGCCAGTGTAAGCGCCCGGGCTGTTAGATGGGGAACTTGCTGGTTATTCCTATGCTGAGGTTTTCTCACTGTGTATTATGTCCAAATCCACATCCGCAGGATGAGTTGGGTGGGCTTGTGAGGCCTTAGCCCTCCACCACATGACCTGCATCAGCTTAGTTCCATTTTTTGAGCACCCACTCTACCAGACACATGACCCACCTGCTTTCATTGCTCTCTTCCTAATCCCTACAATTATCTCTAAGTGACTATTACAAACCTCATTTGTTTAAATGAAGAGTCTGAGTCTCAAAGAGGTTCAATGACAGGTAGCTAGCCCACAGGAGAGCAGCTGGCAGATGCAGGTCAGAGGACTGCCCTCAGTCTTGGGCTTCAGAGCCTGGACTCCTCTGATCCCTGCTGAGGTCAGCCCTGTACAGGGGAACTCATGGATTCACTGTAATTTGGGGGGAACTACTGAAGGGCTGACCCAAATGAGTAGAAGCAACCCTGACAACATAGAATAACCTGGGAAACCTTTAAAGCCTCTAATACCAGGTCCCTCCCTAGAAGTTTAAGTTACTAGGTCTGGAGTGGAGCTTGGACTTGACAGGTTTAAAAGCTCCCCACATAGTTCTTATGTATAAGCAGGATGAAGCAGCACTGGCCTTAAGGATTCACAGAGCAAAGTGAGCCATCGAGGAGTGCCCCGCCCCAATACTGCCCCAGCCCAGGCTATCTGCATCCTGTGTCTACAGGTCTCCGTCACTCCCCCAGGAGGACATTTCTGATAGGGACATTCTTCTGGTTTTCATAATGTAAGTCCGTGGACACTGACACTGTTCACCTAACATGTGATTGTTCTCCTTTAAGGAATGCCCTGATGAATCACTTATGGCTACATAAATGCTGGTGATTCTCCTACTTCCTAAATCTTGGTGGCTTCCATCCTTTGTCTTACACTTTTTCTTGTTCCTTTCAAGACAATCGATCAAGCCAGAGGCAGTCTCCGCCCTTCAGTAAGACCCTCCCCAGTAAGCCCAGCTGGCCTTCCGCAAAGGCGAGGCTGGCCTCCACTCTGCCAGCCGCGACTTCTCTGCAGAAACCTCAAGTTCCACCGAAACCCAAAGAACTACTCGAGGATGAGGTAATGTAAATCTGTCCCCAAGACTCCCCAGGCCAAGCAGGAGGATGCATGTGGTAAGGGCACAGGCGCCAGGGCCATTTGACAGGCTCCTTCCCTGCAGTCCCGAGCCCTGTGTCCTGGGCTCTGACCACCCCACCCCATCTCTCCTCCCGTAGCTCCCACTGCTACACTGCAAGCATGTTGTTTCTCTTAAAATGGTGCATGTGATCTTATTTGAAACATTTTCATTTACTAGCGGCACATGGTATAGCACGACTGGGTCTGTGCCCACTTATCACCCCTCTTTTTCCTCCCTTGGTTTCCTGTGAATCTTCTCTTTCCTTCACAAGGCATTTCCCTGACTTTATCCCCCCTTGCCTCTCCTCCCGGTCCTCTCTCGCTCTCTTTCCTCCACCTTCTCTTTTCTCTGCTCCCTCTCTCTCCTCCTCAGATATATATGATGGGAGCAGTAGGACCCATAAAGGGAGCCCTAGTCCTGGGGCCCTGCGTGACCTGTAGAGGAACCAGCCCTTCACTTTCCTTCAGCTGCTCTTGCTTCTTACACCTGTGCAAATTGCCCAACTCTGTATTTTTTTTTTTTTTAAGAATTATTTATTTATTTATTTTATGCAAGCACTGGGTACAGTCAGAAGCGCGGGAGGATGAGAGAATTCACCAGAGCCAGAGCGGGGAGCAGAGCAGGCAGAAGGACCCAAGCACACTGCTGAGGGGAGCAGCGGGCGGCAGGAGAGGTCTGCGCGCCATGTGGGACCCTCCTCCAGTGGCCGGGGACCAGCCGGGAATCGAACTGGTGCTGCAGAGGCTGCGGGCAGCTTCGCAACCCAGCGTTCAACCGCTGTGCCACCAGGGGAGGCCCCCAACTCTGGATTTATATCATCAGTCTCCCCTGTTAAGCAGTGCATGACTGCATTCACACAATGCGATATTACTGGTCATGAAAAGAAATGAAGTAAATATACATACAACAACATGGTTGAAACTTGCAATCATTATTCAAAAAAAAAGTCCCAAAAGACTACATGTTGCATGATTTCAAATGTGCAATGGCCCGAGGGGGCAAATCTTAGAAGAGACAGAAATAGATACATGGTTGACAAGATCAGAGGGGAGGGTGGATAGGAAGTGACTAATGGGGTGTTGGCTTCCTTTTTGGGGGTGATGAAAATTTACTTAGATTGTGTGATGGTTTCAAAACTCTATGAATATACTAAAACCATCAAATTATACAATTTGCATAAATTTAATGGCATGTATATTTATCTCAATCAATATTATTTTAAATCTCTCCTTTCCATATCATAAACTAGAAATGTCTAGCATAATCTTCATTTATTTCTGCCTTTCCTTTAGGCTGATTATGTGGTCCCTGTGGAAGCTGACGATGAAAACTATATTCATCCCACAGAAAGCACTTCACTCCCATCGGCAAAAGGCAAGTGCTTGCAGTTTTAAGCACCAGAAACATCTAGAGGTAGATTGGGGAATCACAAGACTATTTGGAAGCAAGCACTCAAGGACTCAGAAATGATGAGTCCAGGTGGGCACCTCCAGGGGTCTCTCCTTTTAGCCACACATTGGCTTGCTTTGGCAGGTGAAGTAGAGCATCAGTGAGTGACCAAGCTCTGTTTCATAGCCTTTCTTTACCTTCTTCCTCCATTCTCTCCATGATTTAATGATTTCATCTCACATTAGGAAAGTACCTTAGTTCTTATTGTTACAGGGCAAACCCCAATATAAAATGGGGTTGCCTGACTGTGGGTCCTCACCCATGCGCTTAAAGGGGACTTATTAATGCTAAACTGCAGACACACACAAAAGGTTGATAAAAGGTTTATTTACAAGGGCAGGGGAAATGGGAAATGAATAACTCAGGGAGATCAGTTCGTAAATGCGTGCTACCCCTTCCGCTGACCTGGAATCCCAATGACCCGCCGAGCTGGCGGAAAAACCTAGCAGGCCTCATGGTCAAGCCCCCAAGCCCCCGGCCACATGGCCAGATAAATACTCAAAAGTGAGAGAGCCTAGTTGCTTAACTCCAGCCTCAGGTCCTCGCAACCTTCCCTTTGGTGATCATGGGATTTGTGGTTCCCAGTGTCATAGGGGTGGAATTCACAAAACTTGTATGGAGTTTGCTCAGGACACCCTTTCCCCCTAACATTATCTTCAGTGTCCTCACTTAGAATAGATTTCCCATAAAACCAAATACACACCCAGTCAAAAGCCACCATATTTACCTTAGAAACATTGCACCAGGAATAATACCTGAGAGAACCAAAAATGAAAGCATGAAATTGCTGTGTCCAAATTTTTTAAATATAGATTTTTTTTAACTCTCCGGCGCATTAGAAGAATTTGATTTGTAAACGCTTCATGGAAAAAACAAATTCAATTACAAACGAAAAATCTTCCAAACCAGGGCTACATACCCTCAGATCAGTGGAGGTTTAGTCTGGGAAGTCACTATGGAGACTATACTCCTGTATGAAGATTCCTCTTCAAGTAACATTACTTTTCTAATAATCTCAACTCCAAAGTAGCAGTGCTCAGGTTTTTTCTCTGCCACCATGTAGCAACCTTCTCCCATGCTCTCTAAATATCATCACCAGCTTCAAGACCCACCTGAGTTCCTGAGCCACCCACTCCCAGGAAACAATCAATTCAAATCAATACCCCACTTCTGCCACCAGAGACAAAGTTCAAAGTCCAAGAGGAATAGTGTGTGTTACTATGGCAAGGAGGTTGGGTCCTTTATTAGATTCCATGCAAGTCTCCTGATTTAAAACAAAAACAAAAACAAAAAACCTTTGAACTCCACCTCCAATCTGGCAAATGAAATTCCAAGCCAATGAAATTCCAATTCATTTTAACAAAATCCCTCATTAAATAATTTGACTGTTCCTTTCATCTTCACTAGATTGTTAAAACTCACAGAATAAATGTATAGATATAATTGGCTTTACTTAAGAATCCATGGTAGGACAGCATCCAATCTAGCAAGTAGAAAGGCAGAGGTTTTTACAACCAAAAAGAGGGCGGGACAAGCTATTAGCAAAAGAAAAGATTATTTCAACAAACCATCTTTCCTCAGAGGAAGCAGGAGTTTTACGATGCAGATCCACCTCACTGGCACAGACCAGAAACTCCAGACTGATTGGCTTAGAATTCCACTTTGAGAGGGGCTGACTCTCTAAGTACTTTAGTTACTAAGTCTTCATGGGGTCCAGTATGAATGACTCCATTTGGGACTTGTTTCTCTTTTTAACAATATTCATCTAAAGATGTTTCTCCTGAGAAAGGCTTGTGTGTCTAATGAGTGTTTCCTATTCTTTGCAAATTCTCTGATCTGATGCATTATTTCCACAATGCATTTCTCCCTAAGTGTGAATCTTTACAAAGCCCAAGCCAGTTTTTCAACAGCAAATCGACATATGAAACAAACACACTAGAGAAACCAAAAATCACATTTGTGCTTATAGGAGCCAGTGCCACAGGGAAGCCCAATTGCCCCATGGGGCTGACTAACCACGGATGGCTCTGTCCTAAATCATGTTGGGCACCAAATCTGTTTTTTGTTTTGTTTTGTTTTAAGATTTATGTATTTATTTATACAAGCACTGGGTACAGTCAGAAGCGCGGGAGGGTGAGAGAATTCACCAGAGCCAGAGCGGAGAACAGAGCAGGCAGAAGGACCGAAGTACACTGCTAAGGGGAGCAGCGGGCGGCAAGAGAGGTCTGGGCGCCATGTGGGACCCTCCTCCGGTGGCCGGGGAGCAGCCGGGGATCGAACCGGCGCTGCAGAGGCTGTGGACAGCTTCACGACCCAGCACTCAACTGCTGCACCACCGGGGAGGCCCGGGCACCAAATCTGTTACAGGGCAGGGAGAGGGGCAGCCCAGACCCTGCAAACCTGCCTGCTCAAAATAGGTTCTGCCATCTGCCGCATCAACACAAAACAGATGAGACTTTAGTGGGAAGGAACTTTAATACAATTAGTGAACAATACAGCAAAGACAAAGAATCTAGTTTTTAAATCAAGCACCCAAAGTTACCCGTTCCCTTGTGGGTAAAAATCCATCCAAATGGGATTGGCCCAGAGCAAAGCCCCAAAGCCTGCCACAAGTCTAAAGCATCTTCCAGTGGGGACCCACAGAAAAGGATTGGAAAAAGCCAGACAAGTATGGAGAAAAAGAGCAAAATCAAAATCAAGACAAAAACTGCCATTGTCACCTCCCCACGGGTCTCTCACCCACATCTGTGTCAACCAGTCCACGACCAAAAGGCAAGCGCAGTTTCTTCATGTGTCTCTCTGCTTCATGTGCCTCCTCCAGGTCTCCTGGCTCTATCCTGCTTCCTTCCTTCCTCAGTCTCCTCTCCAGCTTCTTCTCTCTCTGCTCAGCTCCACCCTCCCCTGGGTGGGGCAGGAAACCTGGAATACCCCCCTTTCCTGGGGACCACCCTGTTACATAATGAGTGTCTCCTATTCTTTGCAAATTCTCTGATCTGATGCATTATTTCCATAATGCATTTCTCCCTAAGTGTGAATCTCCTTTGTGTGTGTGTGTGTGTGTGTGTGTATGTGTTTAAGTTCTGTTATAAAACAAAATTCACAAATTTAGAGATCTAATTGGCTTTATTAAATGATTCATGAATCTCAGCTAGATACTGCAAGGGGTTACACGAAATGGAGGGTGTTTATAGAGGAAAGAGGGTGGGACCAGGTTATCAGCAAAAGGAAAGATACACGAAATGGAGGGTGTTTATAGAGGAAAGAGGGTGGGACCAGGTTATCAGCAAAAGGAAAGATTAGTTCAGGTAAAACTGTTATAGAGCAACCCCGATATTAAACGGGTTCCTGGCTGTGGGTCCTCACCCGCGCGCTTTAAAGGGACTTATGAATACTCTACTACAGACACACGCAAAAGGGTTAATAAAAGGTTTATTTACAAGAGAAAAAGAAATAAGGAAAATGTACAACTCAGGGAGAAAATAGGGAAATAAAGTCTTTAATGCGTCCTACCCGATCCGACGACCTGGAAACCCCAAAGTCACTCTCAGAGCTAGACGGACGCCGCGAGCTGGCTGAGGGCCCCAAAATGGAGAGAGCCCCAAAGCCCACATGTCTGCCTTTTGTATCCACCTGGCTGCTTAACCCCACCCTCAGGTCCCAGCCACCTTCCCTTGGGTGGTGATGGGATTTGGAGTTCCCAGTGTCTTTGGCTTTGGCCTGGGGTGGGGGTGGAGTCCACAAAGCCTGTATGGAATTAGCTTTGGGATAGCCTTTTTCCCCTAACAAAACCACTTCCTTGTAGGGTCAGAAGGCAGTCTGCTCAGTCTGGAAATTCCATATTGATTGATTTAGGATCATACTTTCAAGAGACAAGTTGAAACTGAAATAACATTAGTTATTAAATCTGGGAGAGGGCCTGCCCTGAATGACTGAAACTCAGGCCTGTGTTTTCTGTTTTTAACAGCTCCCATGGTAAACAGATCAACTAAGCCAAATAACTCCACAAAGCCAGGCTCTCCTCCAAGGACAGCTTTAGGTAAAGTATATTGTGTTTGGCATTTTTTTTCTTGTGAAATTATTATACTTGAGGTCAGAAGACCTTATCCTCATTTGTTCTCTGGTGGTATCTTTGTAAAAGGTGTTAGCACATGACCAGGGAACCCAAACGTTAAGGGGTGCAAGGAGTACATGCTCTAAAAAGGGGTTTGGCCATCCATGCACACAAAAGCAAAGGGAGTGTAAATGACCAAGCAGGGTCTTTTGCTGACACCCAGAAAGCCAAACTCTGAATCAAGAAAATTATCTTTATATGAAGGAGTTTTATTCAAGATGACCATCAAGGAAGTTGGCACCCCCAAAACAACCAGCTTCCTGAGTGGCAGGAGTGCTGAGATTTGACAAGGGGCAAAGGAATGTGAGGGAAGTCAGGGCTTCCCATTTCCAGGCCTGAGGAAGAGGCCCCTTTGTTGTCAACACTGCTCCCGCCCCAGCCCCAGCAGCCACCAACCCGCCTTCCCTTACCATAGACTTATTTGCCTTTTCTGGACATTTCATATAGATGGTGTCATACAAAACAAGTCTTTTCCACCTGGATCCTTTCACTTAGCATAATGTTTTGACTCTCAGATACTTTCAGCCCTTTCCTGGCAATATGACTTTATATTTGGCTAATATTTTCCATTTTCAAAGTTACCCTATTGTATAACCACAATAATTCTGAGGTAGGTGAGGTAGACGGTGGTGGTGTCCTCATTTCAAAGGGGGAGGCACAGTGGCTTGAAAGAGGTCACCCAGCCAATCTCTGATGGAAATAACTAGAACCCTGACCTCACGATGCAAAACTGTAGGACCTCAGGTCCCCGCCAGTGCTGTACCCCAGCACCACCCTGGAGGCTGGCACGCCCTCCCTCTCCTCTGAAGCCATTTATTCATGGGGAGGGCAGGGGAAAGGAAGACATTGGTCAACTCTTTGAAGTAGGAAGGAAAGGGACACTTAGAAAAGCCAGACCGTAGGTGGGATAAGGATGATGAATGCAAATCTCCAGCATTTAAGCAGAGGGAACCCCCCTGGGAGGAAACTGACTCAGACCTTTCCACTTCCTTATTTCTTGGTTTGGTTTGTTTAGTTTGGTGTTTGTTTGTTTTTGCTTCCTCAAAATCTTCCACCGAAATCGATGAGTAGTTCAGAAAGTATTATTCAGTGTCAATCTGAAGTACCGAGAATATGAACTATATTTGTTTGATTCACTAGAGAATTAAATACTGTTGGCCCCATACTACATATTCAGTTATTTCCCTTATTGTCATGTGAAATGTTGACAGTTGCAAAGGGAGTCTCTGAATGAAATGTTTTTAGAAGTCATGTCCGGGTGAGGTGGCAGGTACGTGAAGGCACAACAGAGGGGACACTCCCTTGCTGGAGCCAGGAAGGCTGCCATGTGGAGTCCATGCAGCCCACTCTGCTGCTGCTCTCCTTTGGGAATGTTCCAGAATCAGCACTTGGGTGATGGAAACCTTTGTAAAAGTGTGTAGGGAGTAGAAGGGCTCTGAGGGAAGGCTGAGCACACCTCTCCAGTAAAGCACATGAGAATGAGCTCCAATATCTCTGTTTTTGATACTTTTTGAGGTCTTATTTTCTCTTTTTGTGCTTGGAATAGGTGGCCCTATGAGATGAGACGGTCTTTAATTGTAAATTCAGAGAGGACAGGCCTAGCTCTATTTCACCTCCTCTGTAAGCCCTGCCATGCTTTACACATACGAGTTTTCCAATAATTCTTGGCGTTTATTACTTCAGTGTTTACTTATGTGTGTTTTTTCTCAAAAGCTAAAATAACATATACTGAGGGCAGGTCCAATCTATGTTTATAGATTATTCCCTTTGAGCCTATCAGGAATTGTGGACTTAAAAATACAGTAGTTTCTTAATAACATATTTATTCACTTCATTGTAATTCAATGAGGAGCCTTTGTCTCACAGAGCAACAATATTCAGGCAGGTGAGCGTCTGCCTGAGAGGAGGCAGCCAGGGATGTTGTGGGGACTGACTGAGCCCGGCCCCTCTCCCTATCCCAGCAGTGAAGGGTGAAGCTCTGTCTGTCTCCCTGCTAATGATTGATGACATCTATCTTCAGGTAGGGAGAGGGAAAATTGGGTGCACTGGACAAGGTCCTCTGGCCCCTTTTATGACTTCAGAAGATGAGGTTTGGGGTCCTCCCTGGTGGTGCAGGGGTTGGGACACAGCCTATGGGGCTGTCCGCAGCCACTGCAACACGAGTTCAATCCCTGGCCAGGGAGCTACCCACATGGTGCAGCAGACCTCTCCTGCCTCACCCGCTGCTCCCCTCAGCAGTGCATTTCAGTCAGTCTGCCTGTTCTGCTCCCCACTGTCTCTGATGAATCCTCTCACCCTCCCCCACCCCCACCTCTGGCCTGTGCCCCAGTTCTTGTATACATAAATAAATAAATCTTAAAAAAAAGAAGAAGAAGAAGAAGATGATGAGGTTTGGGCAGTAACTGGCTACTTGTCTCTATTTGTGCAATGGGGTCCTGAGGACTCAGGTGAATGAATAGCCTCTGCACATGAAATCGGACATATGGAAGTATTAAATGTGGTTGTGAATAAGCATCGTCACAGGTGCATGTCGGGAGTGGTGGGTCTGTGCCTCCCTGTCTCTGGGCACCACTCGTGTGCACATTTGTGCAGTGACTAGAGAAGATAGTATGAACTCTCTCTCCCCGCACTGAACCCTGTGGGGCTCTCGTTAGCCCGCAGGATCAGGGTCTGTGGACTTGGCCCAGAAGGTAAAGAAGTTCATTTAGAAAGGTTAAGATGGAGTCCTTAATTTGCATCCTACTTCTGTTTCATCACCTTTACCTACAGGTTCTCCTCACAAGCTCCACTACCTGTATATGCTAACTCAGAGTAACAAAAACAATGTGCTTGTGTTTCTGAGCCTGCTGACACGGCCAGAGTCACTGTGGCCACAGCCCAGGTTGAAAACTTGGAGACTGACCTGTGTGTCTGTCTGTGCAGGTCGAAATGGCGGGGTCTGGGACACTAAGTCACCATCTTCGCCTGCTGTGCCGTGCCCTCTGCCCAGGGCCGGGTGAGTACCTGTGCAGAGAAGCAGCTCTGAGATTTGAGGGGATGGTCTCCCCTGCTGTTGTGAGCAGGGCTTGCCCCAAATCCACAAAGAAGTCCTCAATGAGACTCTGGGGGCAAGGGTGCTCTTCTGCTAGTTCCATCCAGAAGTGCCCACCTGCGCAATAAGTGCACCTCACATTATAATCAGTGTGTTTCTGCAGCGTGTGGAAATGAACCCAACTGCCTATTCTCCTCTGCCTCCTTGGCAAGCTTCAAGTAGAACTGGGGTGCCCCTGCTAAAATTAAGAGCTAATAGTCTTCTCTCCCATCAATTTTTAGTTCAATCTTGAGTTTACTGACTTGTATAACACAAACAGAAACTCTGTAGAGGTTTCAGCTTTACTTTTAGGTCCTTGACTTGTCTTTCAAGTGCTGATGATCTGTAAAGAAATGGCCCAGCACACACTGGGGTGTTCGATCAAAAGCAACACTGCCAAGGTTCCTTTCAAAAATCAGATAAGCGAGTCCTTCCTTTTTTATTGAACATCAAGGGGTTCTGCGAACAGTCAGGGGGTATGGGACTGTGATGATACCACAGCCATCCCATAATTTACACTTGCTCATAGGTAATTTTTAAAGCTCATTTAAATATGTCTAAAGCTGGCCTGCAAAGTTACAATCTTAAATCTGCCTTCCCGTAAAGCTAGGAAATCTTTCATTTTAGGGGTTTATTAACCAAAACTGTACATGTCTCTCTTGACTCAACTTTATCCCCTTCAGCAAATTACTTAATCTGAGCCTCAGTTTCCTAATCTCTCAAATATGATGAGCATCTCCATTTTTAAAGATCACTGTCAGGTTTAAATAACACATGAATATAAAGAGTCTATGCCAGTGCCAGGCATCTCAGAGGCACTGGGAAGTAGTAGTGTTCTTCCCAGACAAAAATAAGGCAGGAGACACAGCCAACAGTGGAAATAAACTCAGGAGAGAGGCATACACTCTCAGCAACATCAGATTCCAGCTTCTAATGAAGCTAGGGCAAACCAGAATGTCAGCTCAGACAAGCCCCTTCAGGACCACAATTCACAGCATTTTTCAAACTTATGTTGAGTTTGAATTTCTCTATTCTGGAGTGAAATCCTGGGCAGTTGTCTCATGGAGAACAGTCACCTGCAAGCAGGGTGGAAGTTGGCATGGGGAGGTGACAGCTGCAGCTTTCCTCTGGCCACCCTCAGATCTCCACCCTCCACCCCAGCCATTGCCCCTGTGCCTTTGGAGGGAGGGCTCTGGAAACACTGATTCTGGTCTTCGTTTCACAGATAAGGAAACTAAAGCTCAGACGGGCCGCACAGCTGAGAGAAAGAGGCCTGAGGTCACAGATTAATAGCAGAACTGGAACAAGAGCTCAGTTATGCCAACTCCCTGGCAACTGGCGCTCCTGTTTATCCCCAATTAACCCCTTTGCCATCTGTCCCCGGACCCTATGGGAGACTAAGAGGATCATGACTGAATCCTGCTTCCATCCCTCTCCATCCTTCAAGCGTAGTCTTCCTACACTTCTACATATCACCTCTGTTATTCCAGTTTACATTTGAGATTAAAATGAGCAGTGGTCAGCTCCGCTTTATCTTTGTATGCTTAACAAAGTCTCTCTTCTCTCCCAGGAAAAAACCAGCTATGCTGAAGACGGTAAGTTAATTTTGCATTAGACATGGCTCATTTCCCACAATGTTCATCCTTATCCACTTATTGAAAGTTGAAAATGTTTCCTGCTAAGGTGAACATCAGCCAGCTCTAACAACTGTAGTGCTCCCAAGATAGTCCAAGAGAAACCTGGAATCCCCGCTTGCGAGAGGCTCACATCCTCACTTGACTTTGGCGCCTCACTCTGTGTGTCAGCCTTACATCTGAAGTCTGGGCAGGCTCTCTGCTCCCCCATGATCCATCTTGCCCATGGGATACGCCCATGTGATCCCCCCATGTGATCCCCTCATTTCTGCTTTTCACCCCAGGTCAGGGAGCTAATGGTTGACTATTGTGTATGAGGCACACATAGTCTTGACTACACTCAGATTCTGGCCAGAATTGGGCCAGCCCATTATTCAAAGAAGCCCAGCTTGACCTAGTACGACCCTGTATCCTGACATTTACAATTACGTAGCCAACAACTAAATGATGGACCGAGACGGAAGTTGGATGCTAGATGCCCACTGCAAAAGTGCTGCTGCCTTCTAGAGGGCGGGGCATCCATCCACCCTGGTGATGGAGTAGGGCAGTCCCTGTGCAAGGTGGCGCTGCTCCTTCCAGGGCACCCTTCCAGTCTGTTGTTACTTACTGCAAAGATTGGATTGGGGTGAGTGTGTTTTTAGTTGTTGTCCCTGTGATTAAAAGAACAGCTATGCAGCAGAGATGTGTACTCCCCAAGTATTTATTTTAATAATGTTCCTTTGACTTTAACTTCCATCACGCACTGTGTTGAATCTCCTTGCCTTTTCTTTTTTAGCAGACTCCAGTTGTCTCTCAACAGAATGCATCAAATATTTGTGAAGGTAAATCTATTTAATTTTGCAGTGTGAACATGTCCTCTACAAGCGGCTTTAAAGATTTGTATATAAATGTATTTCTAAATTTCTTTCTTGATTTTTAAGACAATTGGAAATAAGAAACTCAATTGGTTTTCACTTCACCTTGAGTAAGTTGGTCAGGACCTGAGCCTTTTAGCACTGTCTTTAGTGTGGGTGGCAGGACTAGGACTTTACATGGGTATGGAGGCTAATTAAAGCCATAACATATCGTAGAATTCATAGTTTAGTTAAGGTAATGGAAATTTTAAAACACTGTTTATTTGAATGTATTCTTTTGCCAAGTTTTCAAAATAATGCTTTTAAAGTTCAAATGTCTCCCTGAGTACATCTTCAAATGCTTTCCTTCACCTTTTCAAAACCTCCCAAACCTTAATACACTTTTATTAGAACTTTCCCACTTAAACACTATATTTGTATTTGAAATGTACTTTGGGAACAAAATAGAAAGAAGAAAGAATCCCTTGTAATCTCAACACATAAATTACTATATGCAGTTGGAGTCCTGCACCCACCTAATTGCATGCTTGAAGGCACCCAGTGTTATAAGCTTAGTGAATGTTCTCACCATTTTCTGAGTTCATATAAGCAGATCTACATACACTGTCCTGGTTTCTCTGACAATGGACAATAAACGTTTTTCTGTCTGCTTTAATTGTTTCCCACACCTTCCCCCCCAGGCTGTTTCTTTTCTTTTTAATCAAACATTTATTTTTCAAGGAGTAAGTTTTCTCAGTCTTTTTTTTTTTCAGTTTTATCTTTTTTTTTTTAATTGAGGCAACATTGGTTTACAACACTGTATACGTTTCACAGCATATACGTTCACACCTCTTCAATTTATGTTACCACACTCATCACCTAAGCACCCATAATCTTCCTCTACAGCCCATTGGGCCCCTTCACCCTCTGATCTCACCCTCCCCTCCCCATCTGGTAGCCGCAATTCTACAGTCAGATGTCTAGGGTTTGTTTTTGGTTTAGTTTTATCTGTTCCTCTGTTTTACATTCTTTATATTCCACATATGAATGAAAGCATGAAAGCATCCAGTATCTGTTTTTCTTGTGACTTATTTCACTCAGCATAATCCCCTTCCAGTTCCATCTACTATCTTGCAAATGACAAGGTTTCATCTTTTTTTAGAGCTGAGCAGTATTCAGTTGTGCATATATACTACATCTTCTTATTTTACTCACCTTTCCTTGGGTACTTAGTTGTTTTCATAACTTGGCTATTTAAACAGTGCTGCAGTGAACACAGGAGTGCATCCATCCCTTTGAATTAGTGTGTTTGTATTCTTTGAGTAGCTAGTGAGGAGTGGAATTTCTGGATCATACAGTAGATCTATTTTCAATATTTTAAGAAATCTCCATTCTGTTTCCTACAGAGGCTAGTCTACATTCCCACCAGCAGTGCGCCAGGGTTCCTGTTCTCTACACTCTGCCCCACAGTACTTCTGAGGCATAGAGTATTGCTTTCTTCTGTCTTTCCTTGATGCTTTTGCCTTGATGCTCTGCCATTCCTTAGAGTCTTTTTGTGCCATTTGAGTAGGGAGCTTGGAGTGACAATGGACCCTTAAGGGGGTCCTTGTAGGAAGTATGTACAACCTGTGCAAATAACATGGCTTCAGGAGCCTCCAGAAATCAGTAAAGAAAGAGCTCATGGCCTGCACCATGTGGCTCTGGTGTCCTCATTCCCAAATTCAGCATGCCATCTCTTATTTTTTAAGAGCACAGGCAATGCTGTCCAAACCAGAGCAGGTGAGCAGCCTCGTCTTACCTGGGAAGGAAGCCCTCAGGATGGCAGGGCCGAAGCAGAGTTAGTGAAGCTCCTCAGTTTCTGGGGATCTAATATATTCTCCTACTGAAAAGACCAATTTATAAGGTCATGAGCAAAATATTTCATGTGGCCACTCAAAGTAACTTGCCACAAACTTGAAACATGAGCTCAAAAGTGCAAGGCTCTGTTGCAAGAAACTCTGAAGTTTATCTAAGCATTTATTGGACTCTGAGTTCTTACTGCTTTTATTCCTTTGGGGTTCCTGTAACAATAGTTCTCAACATTTCTTCCATGCTTGAGACATACCCAGATTTCAACCTGTCTTAGACCAATTTTGAGAGAAAATAAGCCATTAAAATAATTAATAATCACATTCATCATCATTAATGGTTAAGTAGCAAAATTCACTATGGGCTTCAACATAAAGTTTTACATTTCAGATTATGCCTATTTCCCTATCTACTAGTTATAACTCCACCCTGTCCTCTCACCCCAGGAAAACAACAAAATGCAAGTGAGATTAACACTATTACAAGGATAACCTTGAATTTGCTCAGTTAATTTTTCAGAGTTGGTCACTCACAAACTCTGACATTTTACCTATAATCAGCAAGAAATTACTTATACCATCTCTTATGACTAACAAGGACACACCAGAGCATAGTAACACCCATGTGGAGACCACAGAGAAAGTAGGGTGGCTGAAATTCGTTCATCTCTGGCTCCCACCTATACTCACACACTCAGGGATCCAGGCCACCCGGTGCAGTTCCCATGTGCATTGCCAAGGGATGAACACAAAGGGTAGGTATGTTTATGCCTCTGCGGGATGGGTGTCCTGCACAAACACTTCCCAGGACTTCACTGACAGGTGTCACATGGGTGACATCCTGAAGAAAGGCTTGTTCTGGGAAGACACCTGGCTAAATCTGGTTGATATTACTGAGTGTGGACCTGGGGACAGACATTTCATTCAAATGCTAAATGAGAGTCTTCCTCTTGCAGAAAGACCTATACCTGCTGAACGTCACCGAGGGTCTAGTCACAGACAAGAAGCTGCACAGTCACCAGGGTTTCCTCCTGCCCAAAAGTAAGAAAAATTAGTTTCCTCTTGTAATATGAACGCCTGCCTTACTACACCTCACAGTAACACCAGCTTGCAGTGCTCGGTAAAGATCTGATAGTCCATTGCTTTGCAATGAATTGTAGAGGTAACAACTTTTGCAATGAAATGTTAAATAGATAACAACTTTAAAAGAGCTGCTTGGACTTGCAGAAACGTAACATTCAGGTTAATTACTAGACATAACTAAAAATCCAATTTGTTAATTGAGGTTCCTTTGTTTTCAAAACTAAAGGGAGCAATTTTATTTATCTTGAAGATGTTGGTGCCCTTCCTATTTTTAGATGTGTTTTATTGGCCACTCATGCAGTCTCTTTTGTAATATTCCTGTTTATAGCGTCTTTAATGTAAACAAAAATTCAAATTTTTTCATCTTATGCTTTGCCCTTTAATTAATCTGAAATTTTTCATTTCAGACAAATCCATCAAAAACCCATACCTCTGCCAAGTAAGTACAGTGGAGTCATGACGAGCAAGATGAGGTGGTGGTGAGGCCGGGCCTTCCCGCCTGAGGGCCCCGGGTTCTAATGTAACCGTAAACTCACTAGTCTGTTTCCTCATCTGTAAAAGAGAGCCGAGAACATTTATTTCACAGAGGTGTCCTAAAATATAAACAGATTTGAGGTAGTTTTTATTTTTTAAGTTTTCAGTATTGATTGAATATTTTACTGACCATACAGGTCATCTTTCATTTACTTTATTATTTTTTAACAGAAACAATACAACTGTTTCCAAAATAAGAAGATAAAATAAAAGAACACATATTTGGGCAGTCTCTGGTTTAATGCTTGGTATATATAGGTGGTCCTCAATAATGATATATATTTATATTAATTCTGAAATACATTTTAATTATCATAAAATAAATCAATAAAAGATATCCTGAAAAGAAGGTTTGACAAATATCTGAATAATTTTCCCTAAACAATCTATCACTCTAAACAAATATCAGGATAATTTTCCCTAGACAAACAATCTATCACCCTAAAAATATAAGATGTCAAACTTCAGAACCTAACTGCCCAAACCCATTTTTCTCAGTGTAGGGAAAAAAAGGAAAATCTAAAACAATACAAAATAATCAAGATTAGATAAATTTAAATAAAAGAAAAACTGTTACGTACAAAAATCATGTGCATTTATGCTAAACAAAACAATTTTTTTTTTCTTAACCTGTCTGTTTTTTTACTTCCTCATCTGTGAGGGTGTGAGGGGTGAATGGGAAAACATGTTTACCTCATGGAGCTGTTGAGAGGATTGCTGAATTTAACTCTGTGTGTGTGTGTGTGTGTGTGTGTGTGTGTGTGTGTGTGTGGTGAGAGAGAGAGAGAGAGAGAGAGAGAGAGAGAGAGTTTGTGACTACTCATGTACTTGCTTTTACTTCAATTCTTCAATCAGAAGGCATATAAGTTTGAAGAATGTGTTTTTTTTTTTTAAATATTAAATTTTATTTTTATATTCCCCCATACAATTGCAAACGCCCCATTCTGACCCCAATCCTTCCCCTCCCGCCCCCCACCCCCCAAAAAGTGTCTCTGGTTCATAGTTTTTTGTTGATTTTGATTTTCACTTTCTTATATTCATTTTCCTGGTCCCTTATTTAAGTTTTCTAGATTCCTGCTATGAGTGAGACCATCCGGTATTTTTCTTTTTCTTTTTGGCTTATTTCGCTGAGCATGATCCCTTCCAGTGCCATCCATGTTGCTGCAAATTGCATGTGTTTATCTTTTTTGAATGCTGAGTAATATTCCATGGTATATATGTACCACATCTTCTTGATCCAGTCATCTATTTTTGGGCATTTGGGTTGTTTCCAAAGCTTAGCTATTGTAAACAGTGCTGCTATAAACATAGGAGTGCAGGTGCTCTTTGGAATTGATGTTTCTGTGTCCTTTGGGTAAATACCTAGGAGTGGAATTGCTGGATCATATGGAAGCTCTATGTTTAGTAGGTCCAGAAATCTCCACACAGCTCTCCATAGTGGTTGGACCAGTTTGCACTCCCACCAACAGTGCACAAGAGTTCCTTTTTCTCCACATCCTCGCCAACATTTGTTGTTGCTAGTTTTTTTAATATGTGCCATTCTCACTGGTGTGAGATGGTATCTCATGGTAGTTTTAAACAAAACAATTTTTAAGGTTTTAATTAGATATTTTTTTATTCACCCTAAATGAAAGTTACACTAGATACATTTTTTTAAAATTCTGAATACAAAGTAAATGTGGCTTGGCTACATAAATTTTATTTCTCACTATGTAAAGCTTTATTATATTTTATTGTTTTTCTTTCACTTTTCATTTTTTTACATTTAAAAAGACTAGGTTTACTAGGAAAAAGAGAAAGAGAAGCACCTGTATAGTCACAGGCAGGCAAGAGAGCTGCTATATTTTATTGTTTTTGAACCCAAGTTATACTTTGAATTTACAAATACTTACTGACCATCCACCATGTACCAAGCACTGTTCTCAACAAAGAGGCTACAGCAGAGACTAAAATAGAGTCCCTGGCCTTATGGAACTTCTATTCTACTGATAGAGAAATCCTTGCAAGCCCCTAAAAGGATCTTGAGGATTACCATGGTCCTCAAATTATGTTTTGAGAACCATGGCTCTTAAGGATTGTTTGATGTGTGTGTGTGTGTGTGTGTGTGTGTGTGTGTGTGCGCGCCCTCAAGCACAGTGTTGAGATTTTGGTAGAGTAACTGCTCAAGATACAGTGATGATCAATTGATTTTTCAAATCTCTTTCAGGATTTCCAGAAGGGGGAAGCCCAACAGTGGATGGTCCATTACCTAGCTTTTCACCTAATTCCAGCTTATCAGAACAGGTATGAAACAAGCTCTTGTTGTTACTAGCAAACTGCAGGGAGGGTTATGTCTTATGAGAGGGTTCAGAGCTTGAGAACAGACTGCATTGTAGGTGGGCTTGGGAGCTGTCATTTGTTATTGGACATAGAATATATCTGTTTTCTAAATGCCCCAAATAACAATATTTTTCTTGAAAGCAGCAAAAAAAAAAAAAAAAAAAAGTTCTTTTTATTGTTCTCTCACATAGATTCTATTTAAACTTTGTAGTATTCTCAGAATAGATCTGTGGGAGCATATGATGTTAAGACACATACAAAAGCACAGTTTTTAAAAAGACAGGAAAAGGATTCTGTGTCTCTGAACTTTCTCAAACTTAAAACCGAGATGACAACATGTAACCTTCTTGCCTTCGATGTAGTTACAAGAGTCAAATAAGATAACATTTGTAAAAACACTCCGAAATTGTGGCACTCCTCAAGGTGATAATGGTAAGAACACAATGGAAAGGGAGATTATAATTCATTTAGGAGAAAGGAGTGATACAATGTTCAGAGCTCTAGCAGGAATCAGTCATTATATTCAAGTACTAAGTTTAGCAGCTAAGGCTAAATGAGGGAAAAATAAGTTCCATAATCCTTACAGTTGATCAAATGAAGCATAAAACTAAGCATAAAATTATTGTCCAAAATTATCCCTTTGCACTCCAAACCATTTTATGATATTTTGATTTAATTTCTTGTGCCATTTCAAGATAAAACTTCAGGGAAACATGCATGTCTCAAAAAGTTGCATTGAAATAACCTCAATTCCCCGTAATCACTAATAAATTGCAATGTCCCCTGAGAGGGGACATCCGAGTGATATGCTAGAATTCCGATGTCCCCTGAGAGGGGACAGCGGAGTGCAAAGGGTTAAATAGTTAGGCTTGACTTGGTACTGCAAAGCTGGTCTTCATTTCTAGTTCATAGAGGATACAGTCGGTGAAAGGCCATCTCATACCTACCCTGTCCTCTATTTCACAGGAGGCGGATGTCCACTGTAAGCCATGGTACGCTGGCGACTGTGATCGAAAGTCTGCAGAAGAAGCATTATACAGATCAAACAAGGTCCACTCATTTTTAAATCCCATCTCCTGTCCTCAGGCTGTAATAAGCACAGTGGTCATCCTGATACCATGCTAATTAAATAATCACAACAATTATGAAAACAGGAAATCTTTTTTCTTTACCTACTCGAGAGCGACTCCCATCCCCTCCTCTTCTTCAAAAATCTTCCTCTTTGTCCCGCATCTCATTTCTGCTTGTCCTTTCCTCTCTATGGGGATCCATGCTCTCCAAACAGTGGGAGAGAAGGTTCCAGGGGAGATCTCTGTAAAGTTGGGTGCTACATAAAATCCAGGGGTGAGAAGTAACAGGTTATTTTGGATCAATCCATGGGATTAAAGATTTGGGTCAAGATGGCAGAAAATACTTGGAGGTAAATTTTTCGAGAGTCCAAACCCAGTCATGTCTTGGAACTCTAGAGACAGTTTGGACAACACACCATTAAAGTGTTCTCCTTTTCCTCTTCTGTTTTTTCACGTGTGCCCTACTTTGACAGAATATATGACACTTGCATACTGTTCCTTTCTACCCTTCTTTTATTCCTAGTTCTATAAGTCAGCATATGAAATGCTTTCCATCAGTTCCTCTTCAGGTTTCCAAGTTATCTATTTGTGTTTGATGAAGCTTACCTTTTTTTTTTTTTTTTTTTTTTTTGTGGGACCCTCGCTGGCGGCCGGGGAACCAACAGCGCTGCAGAGGCTGCGGGTCACAGCCCAGCACTCAACCACTGTGCCACCAGGGGAGGCCCTGAAGCTTACCTTTTATTAGATTCTCAGAACTGCTTACCTTCTTCTTTGAGTTTTTGCACATACGAAACAGTTTTTTTCACAGCTTTATTCCAGAGAGAAATATTGGCTGGATATAAGATTCTTTGCTCAAATTTTTTAAAGCTGCTCCACTGAATTGCCTTGTTTTATAGAAGATGCATCTGAAAAATCTGATGTTAATGTTATTTCCTTGCTTTTATGTGTAAGTTGGTATTTTGGTCTTAAGGATCTGCTGACTTTTGGTTTTTAAAGTCTTACTAACCGAGTTGATTTCCAGATCAGTAGTTTCAGATAGACAGAAACCCTTTCAATATGTAGCTTTATTATCTCTTATTTCTAACAGCTTTTCTCATGATCTTCAAAGTTAATTCTGTTCCATTGTTTTGTTTTTCTTCTTCAAGGACTCAAATTACATCTGCTTTAGGCCTTTTTTGTACTTTATCTTTCTTTCATTACAACCACTGTCTCTCTAACCCAATTGTACTTCTTTTTATAATCTCTTTTTCCCCAGTGTTGGTTACTTCTATACCTTCCTTCAGTCATTTATTAAATCTTCATCTCAGGACACTGTCCTTTGGGCATCTTGTCACTTCTGAGATAGGTTTGTTTTTCTCCAGTTTCTTTCCTGAGTTTGATCAACTCTGGTTGTATTTCTTCTTCCTACTTTTTGTCCAGTGTTTGTTCATAATTTTTGAATTTATGATTCTAGGGCATTTTTACAAAATAATTAAATTTGGGATATTTAATTAAATTTGTTAGTTTTTTTCTGCTTCAATATCAGTTTTAGGGGAGAGAATTTTCATCAGCAGGAAGTATTTTTGATTCCCAAATTCTGCCTTGTTTTTTATGGTACTTTTGAATGGAATTTTTTTTTAATTCATAGGCAACTTACGAGCATGGTTCCTAGTTCAAGACTGCCCTCTATGTGTGATCTTAATGTGTCCCTTCATGTATTTCTAGTCCTATAAACATCTTACTTAGTGTATTAAAAAATCTAGCATTGGCCTCACTTGAGATTTCTGATGTTTTTTAACTGAAGTATTCTCTTGGAAAATAATAAAACTAATGAATAATAGACATCACATAGCTAAATAATTACCTTTTGAATGTAATACAGATATTTTTCATAAACCTATTTCTAAAGGATACTTACTAGCCATAATTATGTTTTTATTTTCTTAAACAGGATGGATCATTTCTTATTCGGAAAAGCTCTGGCCATGATTCCAAACAGCCATATACACTAGTTGTATTCTTTAATAAGCGGGTATATAATATCCCCGTGCGATTTATTGAAGCAACAAAACAGTATGCTTTGGGCAGAAAGAAAAATGGTGAAGAGGTCAGTAATTTGTCTTTTAATCCAACTTATAAGTGTATTGAGCACAATGGCATCATACTATGTTAGGTGCTGCAAATGAGGAGAAAGGATACCTGTATACTTGGTCCAAGATTTACACACGTCACAAATAGAGTACAAGATAAAATACATGTTCAAACAGAATATCCTATGACTGAACAAAAAGGAAGGCAGATTGGTATGATTGAAGGGCTATTTCTTAGTCTTTTAATCCTGTTTCTTAGGGTCAGTCTGACTCAGGATTTAAGTCTAGGGGGACATAGAAGTTGTCAAGGATGAAATGCTAAATAAAATGATAGGTACAAGAATCAAATTTCAATGTACAGAACTCCTAAGTCAAGAAGTAGGATCTCAACTCAAGTAACAGGTAGGTGACCAGGGAAGGATCCATAAGACACACAGAAGTTTGAGTTGAAGTATCAGGCTATAGCCCTAGGATGAGAATGACTTATGGCTGTGCAAGAAAAACAAACAAACAAACAAACATATGGGTCTTGATTACTAACAGCATAAAATTCAATTTCTCTTTAATCTGGACCAGACTCAATGCTCATCTTACCTCAGTTTATCCAGCCTGTTCCTGTAAATCAACTCTGAAATGTGGGCTGGTAAGTCCATATTTGAATGATCAGAAGGGAAGGTATACTTATTCTGGTCTTGAGTGATAAGTCAAATATGAGTAGGGAGAATGAAAAGTGGCATGAATGAGGAGAAAAAGTGGAAAGAACAGTCTAAACAGATAAAATAGTATGAGAAGATTCAAGTTAAGAGAAACTTATTTTCAAGACCTATATAGATCTATAACCATTCCAAACCTAACACTTGCTAGTATTTGAATTGTTAGAAAATGTCATAATTGCAGAAGTGTCTGTCTTCTCTGCTAGATGAACTGTGTCTGTCAGGAATTATGTCCTATTCATCTCTGTATTTTCAGAACCATAGCACTATAGGTAACTTCAGTGGATGCTTGATCAATACTTACTAAATGGATTTGTTGGCTGAGTGATTATAAGCAGGAGAAAAGCATTTGTAAAACAAACTGAAAAGATCTTATATGTCAATGAATATACTCCTTATTTTGCCTTTTTAAATTGTGCTAAAAATGCCTATCATAAAGTATGTCATACCATTTTTATGTGTACAGTTTAGTAGTATTAATTATAGTTACAATGCTGTGAAACAGATCTCCAGAATTTTTTCAACACCCATTCCATTCAATACCCAACTCCAGAACAAATTCAATACCCACTGAACAACAATTTCCCTTTTCCCTCATACCCCAGGCTCCGGCAACCACCATTGTACTATCTTTTTTTTTTTTACATATTTGACTACTTTAGATGGTTCATTATAGGTGGAATCATACAATTTTTGTCCTTTTTTTGACAGGCTTATTTCAGTTAGCAGAATATCCTCGAGGTTCATACATGTTGTGACATGTAACAGGATTTCCTTCCTTCTTGAGGCTACATAGTTTATCCATTCATTTGTCAATGATTGCTTTCATCTCTTGGCTATTGTGAATAATGCTGCTATGAATATGGCAAATATCTATTCAAGACCTTGGTCTCAATTCCTCAGAACAGATATCCAGAAGTGAGATTGCAGAATCATATGATTTTATGCAAATTATATAAAGCATTTCAATTTTTGAGGAAACACCATATTATTTTCCATAATGATTGCATCACCGTATAATCCCACCAACAGTGCAAAAGTTTCCAACTTTTTCACCAACGCTGGTTATTTTTCTGTTTTGTTTCTTACAGTAGTACCATCCTAATGGTATGATGTGACCTCATTGTAATTTTGATTAGCATTTCTCTTATGATTAGTGATGTTGAGTATTATTTCATATGTTTGTCGATCATCTTTAGAAAAATGCCTAATCAAGTCCCTTGCCCCCTTTTTAATTGGATTATTTGATCTTTTTGATGTTCCATTGTAGGCGTTCTCTATGTATTCTGGATATTTATCCTTTATCAGATATATGATCTTTCCAAATATTTCCTCCCACTCCATAGTTGCCTTTTCACTCTGCTCATTATGTCCTTCAATGAACAGGACTTTCAAAATTGATGTAATTTTATTTTCTATTTTTGTTTTTTATTGTACTTTGGTGTCATAGTCAAAAAACAATTCCAAACACAATCTCATGAAACTTTTTGAAGCCCTGTTTTTTTCTTCTAGGATTTTTATAATTTGGGGTTTTATTTTGTTTTTCATAAAGTCTCAGGTCATTTAAAACACAAAACTCTTGAATCTAAAGACACAAAACAGATCAATACCAGACTAGGGCTTTAAAATAGAGATTGTATTATCATTTCACACCAGTTAAACTTTAACAAGAGTCTGATATTCCCAACTCACAAAAACCTTCATTCACATGGAAATTTGTCTTATTAATCTTTCAAAATAAATGTTCCTCAATAATAATCAGTAAATAGAGTTGATCCTAGTAGATTCTAGAGTGACTTTGGATGGATGATTTCACTCTAAAGCTTCCCCAAGGGTCCAATTCTTCTATAAGAAACTTAAGGGTGAATGGGGGAGCTGTCCTTTTTAAAGGTCCTGAAATTTTCTCATAAATCTTGAGTGCCCAAAGGGTCTCTGGACTTCTTGTCCTGCTAGAAGCACTAGTAAGCAGAGATTCCTCTTAGCCTAAAGAATCCTCATCTCTACCTCAGGATGAATAGATCGGTCTTCACCTCACTGTCCACATATCCAATCTACGGTACCAAAATAAATAGTATGTTATTATTATATACTACTACCGGAAGTACTGACAGAGCACATTAAGAATCTTACTTAAATTATCTATAATCAAAGTCATGTTTCCTAGATACTGAACATCTGAAGAGAAAGTGAAGACATTGTTTTTGTGATGTTAACCATGTGGAAAGAGTAACCAAATGATTAATTTGTTGAACTTTTTATGCAGCTGTTTGGGCATTGTATAGATACAGTATTGAAGGATTTTGCAACTGTGACACCTGTTTGCTTTAGTTTATTGGCCACAAGATTTTATCAAACATGTTGTTTTTCTGTTCATGTATAATTCTTCAAATTCACTGAATTAGTATAAACAGAGGGGAAACTGCAACTAATTTATGCCCAGTTCTTCTTTTAATTGTATCACAAATATATCCCGATTCCACTCCACACTTTTAAATATGTCAACTCCACTCCCTACTGCAGACATTTCAATCCCCAAATACTACAACAAAGCAATACTCAAAAATATTAAGGGACTTGGAAGAACAGAGTGAGATGTTGTTTGTATATTGATAAGCACAGCATCTAACTCCTATGTTTCTTGGGTTCTCAATACACTTTTTCACTTGGAATCCCCTTCAAAGAGGTTGTGCTTCATTTCCTGGTTTAGTCCATATTTGGTTTAATGTGCTATGCCAAACAAATGGAATGAATGTCTTTATGAGTATCATAAAAGAATTTCATTAACAATTGCAAAAGGGTTGAATAACTGGAGAGAAAATAAGAAATAAAGACTAGCGGTAATCAAACATCCATGTCTCTCACATCTCCTCTATGATCTAATATGCAGCTAACCAATTATCTAAAAGATAACGAGTATTTCATTTGAAAAAATTGGCCAGTATTCTGAATATTTTACTTTATTCAGTATATAGATACTTGGAAGGTATGTGAATAATTAATAAAAGCTTTTAAAAATTATTCCAAATGCTTGTCATTATGAAAAATTAAGACAATAAAATCAATTGGCAGAAATTGTTAAATTCTTGGAACTGTTGTAAAATAATTACCACTTTTCAAAAAATGACTCTAAGTGTATTTATTTGATGAATAGTTAAAGCTTAGCATATAAAGTTCCATTACTAATTAGGCTCTAATTTAGCTCTAAACGTACTAAGAGTAAAAGTAAAATGGAAATGAGGATTTATAAAACTTTTCTTATTAAAAACAAACATGAACTTCTCAAAGCACTAATTTCTAAGGTTAATATATCACATCAGTGCTTGTATCTAAGACATGCAACAAAACAGATAATCTATGATTTGTAAAGAATGTAGAGAAAAATCTGTATGACAATTTTACATTTGACACTAAATATAAATCAAAATATTAAAATGTTACATCATAACTCAGTGAAGTAAGTTACATGAAGGCTGTCAGTTGTGTGTGTTTTTATTCTCACTGAATACAGAAAAGGCCAATGTGAGTCACCTCAAAGGTGGCAGCCTTTGTTAAATGAGAAACTAGACATTCTACTTTGGTAGACTGTCAAGCGGACCTAGTAACTTAGAGGAATTTGAGAAAGTGGGAGAAAATGGGAGGTGTGGTACTCCGAGTTAACATAAGTGCCAGTGTACAATTCATCTATGTTTTCTTGCTCTAGTACTTTGGAAGCGTTGCTGAAATTATCAAGAATCATCAACATAGCCCTCTGGTTCTCATCGACAGTCAGAATAACACAAAAGATTCCACAAGACTGAAATACGCTGTTAAGGTTTCATAAAGGATGTCAACGTTGTTGCTCCGGACATTTCTCCCAAGTTTTCATCTCAGAGAAACAATCCCAAAACTTCATATATTGGATTACGAATCATCTGGTAATAAAATGGTAGATGGAGGCAGCTACTGAGGTGGTCATCCATGTCTTTGTAAGGAGCTCAAACGGACTTATACTATGGCCTGACCTGATGAACTGTTAATATCTGGCAAGGGTGAATTATTATGCTCATGTTGTCCAAATAAATGTCTTTATTTAAAAGAAACATGTAAGAAAAGTTTTTTATCATGTAAGAAAATAACATTATTTCCAAAATAATATAATCTGGAATAAAAGAAAGCTGTAGGAAATTCAGGCCATTACAATGGTCACTGGAGCACCAATGTAGATGGGCTGGCTACTGTTGATGCTTGCCAGTTAGGTCTTGGTTAAAATTTTAATGTGTAGAGAATAGAATATAGGTAAAAATGTGATGTTTGTAGAGATGAGAATATCGTGGTCCTCTTTGTCAGTGCTCCCAACCAAGGGAGGTGTGGATGTGTATTTGAACTTTCTAGAATTTCTTGTCCAGTATTATGTTGTTAGCTTTATGTATGAAATGTAATCATACCCTCTTTGATCTGCCTATTAAAAGGAGTCACAGTGAGGTTCACTGTGGGAAGAAAGTAAAGGCCTAGGGAAATGTCCTTCAAACCAGGGTAAAAAAAGAGCTACTGTGAACACTAGGGTATAAAAGAGGTATCATTGCAAGCAGCCAAACCATTTCAAATGTTTTACATCTTGTCATATCAAAGCTTTTTCTCCTATGTACTTTGGACAGTAAGGAAATGATAAGCAATTAATTAAGATAAATCTAATAATTAAATGAGGGTTATAGTTGATCACTGAATAAGCACAATCTCTGAAAGAGTTTTTAAATGCTAGATTTCAGAGTACTCGCAGACTCAGTTGTAAAGATAACTGTATTTTTTAATGTCCTATATTGTCATGATGACCATTTATGTTATGGGTTGAATTGTGCCCTTCCCCACCTACCTCCTGAAGTGGGAGGCTAGCCACCCACTAGCCACCCAATAGATGATACCACCCAATAGATGATACCTTGTATTTTTTAGCCACCCAATAGATGATACCTTGCTACGGTAGTCCTAGGAAACTAATACTCTATATACATTTTTGATAGTGAAATCAGGTATAAATGGGTGTGGGAAATTTGTATGACAGATAGATAGCAGATGGGTTCACCCATCTGTGGACTATAAATCACCAAAAACAACACGGCAAACAAAAAACAAAAAACCCCACAGGAATAAATCTTGAACTTAGTGAAAGGATACCTGTCTTGTTCCTGATCTTAAGATCTAAGTTTTCAGTCTTCACCTTAAGCTTCATGTTTGCTAACAGGTAAATGTTTCAGTCTTTGCTGACAGAGCCAATAGACAACATATAGGGCAAGCAAGGCACTAACCAAGAAACTGAGGAAAGGCTGGGGAGTAAGGTGTCCATAGGACTTAGGAATGCTCCTGGCAATCTAAAAGGTGACATGCAAGCCCAGGGCCCTGTGTGCACTGAAGAATGACCTGAGAAGGTCCTGAGCTGTCATCTCTGACTGAGTAGGACATTTTGCTAAAGAAGCAAGTGAAGGCTAAGGCACAATTGTAAATTTCCTGAGTGATGAAATGTGCCACCACCACCTCCCCCCACCACCACCATAGTGCTCTGGCAAACAACTGGGAGAATTTTTTTTTTTTCATTCCGGTGTGAAATCTGCCAAATCATTACCTGACCATTAGGATAACATGAAACTTCAGTGGTCACACATGACAAAAAATAGACTTTATAAATTCATTCAGGGAAGTTACTAACAATCACAAGTAGTAACAAAACCAGGGGAATGGGGGTGGACAGTCTTGATTTTCAGAACTGTCACATTATAGCTAAAGTCTCCTTTTCAACAGAAAAAAAAATTAAAAGCATGCCAAGAGGAAAGTACAACCACTTATTGGAGGGTGGGGGAAGCAAGCAATAGAAACCCTGAGGAAACCAAGGCACTGGGCTTTCTAAACAAAGATTTTAATTTACCTCAAACCATGCTTAAGGTATGAAAAGGTAAGAATGATGTAGAGAATATAAAGTAGAGAATATAAACAGAAGTTTTAATTCTAAAACTTTCAATTTCAGAGTTTAAAAGTATAATCACTGAAATAAAAAATTTACTAGATAGGCTCAACAATAATTAAGAGGGCAGATTTGAGAGGGCAGAATCCATGAATTTAACACTGTCCAATTTGAGGAAAAGAAAGAAAAACAGTAAAAAGAACAGAAACGAAGATTGTTAGAGACCTGTGGAACAGTATCAAACCTAACAGCATAAACATAATGTGAGTGAGTCTCAGAAGACAAAGCAAGGGCCTCTCCTGTGGCGCAGTGGTTGAGCGCTGGGTTGCAAAGCTGCCCGCAGCCTCCGTGGCGCCAGTTTCATCCCCAGCTGCTCCCCGGCCACGGGAGGAGGGTCCCACATGGCGCGCAGACCTCTCCTGCCGCCCGCTGCTCCCCTCAGCAGTGTGCTTGGGTCCTTCTGCCTGCTGTGCTCCCCGCTCTGGCTCTGGTGAATTCTCTCACCCTCCCACGCTTCTGACTGTACCCAGTACTTGTATAAATAAATAAATAAATCTTAAAAAAAAAAAAAAAGACAAAGCAAGCATTAGAATATTTGAAATTTTAAAATGTCTTAAGATTTTATGAAAAATATTAACCTATCAACCAGCAGAAAAAAACTCTTAAATTAGGGGTGTCCATTAATAGACGTCCCTTTAACCTAGTCAAAAAGTACCTCATTGTGTCAAATAGCACTAAGATATTACTTCTCAATTGTCCATTTACTAAAGGAAGCAAACATACTTAAATCCGTGAACACCAAACCAACCAAGCTGTCCTATTTCAACTCTCCATTACAGGGGAAATTTTCTGCTAAAGCCATGCTTAACTATCAACAAAAAATGCCCTGAAAATTCCCCCAGCAAATTTCAATAAAGTCAAAGAACTTAGCTGAAAATTAGGATACTAACAAAGTGCCAAGGCAAAGCACAGAACCAATGCTCCAACCCAAAAGTGACAAATCTCAAGTTAAGCAGATGTCAATGGCAAAATGGAATCACTTATTTAAAACCATCAAGAGTTAGTCATATGGGATTAACCCAATATTGTTTTCACCTCGTCTCCATTCTCCCCAATCCAAAAAGAATTACTTTTTATTAACAGCTATTTCAAACCACTATAAGAACTAGCATTTATTTTTAATCTAACCTGGACATACATTCTCATGCAATTGTTTGATCTCATTTTTAATTCCTCCAAAAATTACATTACTCTTACACAAATGATTATCTAATTTACCCATTAGTCATTTTCATTTATTCATTTTGTCTTCCTTTTACTACAAACACATCTACATTGGCAATTTATGCTCATATTTTAAATTTTTATACTTAGTAACATTCATACAACTGGTGACTATCACCAAAAACTATCAGACTTGTGTTTTTACTAAAAATCCCAGAGCATAGCTTTTAGGGGGGAAAAAAAGGTTGGTAAATGATTTGATAGGCCAGATTCAACTACCTGTATTTTAAATGAGGTTTTATGTATTCACTAATTCATTCATGTATTGTCTATGGCTGCTTCTACATTGACTGTTTATGACAGACTAAATGATCTACAAAGTTACAATCTGACCCTTCACTGAAAAATTTTGCTGACCCTTAATAAAATGTTTCATGAAAACTATTATTGCACTTTAACATGCTCCTGAATGCTTAATAAGGTCAAAAAATTCTAAAAAGCAAACTTTTTTAAAGTGAATGTAAAATTAGCAAGGTGCATTTAGTAAAGATTAGCAAACAGGGAAAAAAGAACATTTCTGACTCTGAAATTAGATTGCAAAAATAAAATTAGCCATTCCACTTACAGTAAGAAACACAAATTATTAATGTCGTATTTTAGAATGCCACCTTTAACTTAGTTTCAGCGAGAAGGAAAGGATAATGGGTTTTTCTATGTTCTACTGCAGCAGCAAAGTTCCAGGCAAACTGGCCACCTTCAGAGCAACCAAAATTATAAAAATCAGAGAGAGTACTAACTAAAATATCTGGACATAAAGCATTTTTAAATGGCTTTTTAAACTTTGAGAGAAAAAATGTGTATCTCAAGATTTTATTCATTACTGGTATGGCAATTTTGAATTGTTACAGTGCTGCAAATACTGGCAAAATAGTCCCATCGCTCTGTCCACAGGAAGTGATGCCTCATAACAGATGCATCCACAATAAAGTATTTCACTTTTACTTGTTAGGATATTGAAAAGCATAAGCCTCTCTATGGCTTTCCTTCCCAGTACAATGACAGAAAAATTATAGTTAACTGTTACCCTTATCAAACAAAATCTCACCTATGATTTTGGAGAAGAAAAAAAATCCCATTTTATTTTGCATAGTTCACTATCATAAAAAAAGAACTTTAAAATCTAAATATTTCCCATTAGAATAAAATTCCCATTTAATTTTAGCACAGTGAAAAGAATTGTGTAAACACAAACAAGATAAATTTAATTGAAAACGGGTTCATTACAGAAATTAACAATGCTTACCATTCTTTAAACATCATATACATCATTAATATATACTGTATCTTTTCAATCAACTCCATTCTTAGGCTCAATTTAAGAAACACAATTGTAACAGGTTTTATACAAAAAATACTTCACTAAGAAAGTAGACAAACTGCACAAAACCAGTACATGTATAATGTGCATAGCAAGATAGCTTGAAGCATCTGTGTATGGCTTTCTTTAAAATAGAACTATTGGGGGAATGGGCCCATTTGGGACCTACTGTTACAGTTGACAAATGTAAACTGTTTCACATCTTTTAGGCACTTGCTAACAATAGTGTTCAATCCCTGAAAAATGAATTTACCCAAAAAAAAAAAAAGTACATCTGAAATAAAAACCAAGAAAATAACATGGGTAAAGTCTTATATACGCCTTTTAAATTAAACAACCAGTTTTATTAGTGCATGCACAGAACTAAATTGAAAGAAAATAAATTTTATGTCAAAACTTTCTGTGCAAAATTTACATAACTGAAACGTACAAAAATATGTACAGGTTTAATTTTTTTGTTATATACAGAAAACAAGCCCTGAAGTTTTCATTCAATCAAAGTATCAATAACACTTATAGTAGCAATGTAACAAAAATGGTCTCACATAATTTTGTAATACAAGAACTCCATTATCTAATGATCCAACAAATCTGATCCAAGATTACAAGATGAGAAGTTTAAACCGATGATTCTGTTGTTGTCATGAAAATGTCCATTTCAAAACTCTATGTAGGGCATATCCCTTAGAAATCTGTCCTGAAGTTCATGCACTGCCAGAGTTCACTATAATGCTTCTCGATTTTCAACTGCCAACAATCAGTAAATCATCTGCTTTGGGCTGTCAGTCATACTGAAAAATTGATAATAAAAATGGTTTGTCCCAACGTGGACATGTTCAGATACTAAGAGTAATTAAACACAAACAAAAATAAGATTTGCTTTGCTAATCTTGCTTCATAATATTGTTTCTGTAGAAAAAAATTCAATTTTTGAGAAAAGCCATACCCTTGGAAGTGCTTCTAAGTTCCACTCTTTTTAAAGGGATGACAACCATGGAAAAAAAAAAAAAGGTCACTTGGACTATGGGTAACAAACAATTTAAATTAAACAAGCTTAGTTCTGTATAAGACAATCACTGGAAAATATAACCAAGTTCAGAAAAATGCCCAAATTCTTTCATTGGACTTCAAACTAGACAGAGTTTAATTCTTTTACCAGCTGCCCATCTACGAATGCAATGCTTGACATTTAGAAAAAAGAAAATTATCTGGCGAGGGTGTTCCAACCTCTGTCAGAGGGTAGAGTTTATAAGAAAGTAAGATTTGTCAGAAGCTCTTTTCAAACATGAGGTGTAACTGTAGTGAATTAAATGTATTCTCAAAGCACCCAGTACCCCTCCAAAGAACTATAGCAGATGTAGAGTAAGTTGTAAGTTCTTTACTCAAGCTTTCTCAGTACATCTTCACAAATGGTAAGAAACTCCTTCAGTTCCATGATGAAAGAGCTCTCCATCTTTGGAGGAGCTACACTTTTCAGATTCATAAGGCTGGTGGAAGAAGAGAGGGAATGGGGCCATCAGCCATTACCCTCTGCTGAGTCACTGAAGAACTGAGTCAAGAAAATTATGTTATCTTTAGCCCTAACTTCTCAAGAACACACTTTAAAAAAATTAAATCAAAGTACACCTGTGCTGTCATGTTTCTTTCAACATATGTGTGTGGCGAAAGCAATTTCAAATATCACACATACCTTCTGCTCTTCGGTTGACACACTACCAATTTTTACAAGTAATTTCAGGTATTAAATTGAAATAGAAAATGTCTGCATTAAGTTATCAACCCAGTATTGTTTTCTAAGATAACTTTTCTTTTCCATAGTTAACAATAAATTATTCTAACACATTCCAATCACGAGTAGCTTCCATTAAATGTCTCTGTCCATGACCAGCCCAGGCATCCTGATTGTCAAATACTCTACCACAAAACCAACAGTTAAATGTAGCCTTCAGAACATTTTCAGAGGTAGTTTTCACAATCTGGTAATTGTTTTTGCTTGTCTTTTTGAGTGTTAATTTTAGTACAAATCTCTCTTTCACAGAACTAATAGGTTTAAATGTTTTGTGTCTCTTGGAAAAATCATAAGTTGTGTTAGAAGGATTATAACAAACTGGTTTTAGTAAAGCATCGATAGTTCTTTTTGACAATGAAACCTTAAGTACACGTCCATTAAATTTAGCAATAGTTTTCATTACATTTACTACTTCTGGTGCATCTGCATCAGGATGGTTCAAAACTACAACTGGTTGGTTTCTCCTAGGACATTTCACAAGCTGTTTGGAATTGAAGGGGAAAAGCCGCAAAGTTCTGACTGAATCTTTTGATAGTCTAGGTCTGCTAAATCCAAATGATTCATGGACATCTTCAGGTTTAGCCTTTTCTTTACACTTTCTATGTAATGTTGCTTTTTTTCTTGGAGGTTCTAGGTCACTATCAATATACTTTCGTTTACAGTTTCTGTTTCTAGATACAAAAGCAGTTTCAGAATCTATATGTCTTACTTGAGTTTTTATTCTTGAAAAATTTTTTTTGGAAGTCTTTTTTCTATTGAAGCTTCTCTCAATTGTACAATTTGTTTTACATCTTAATACCCTGGTCTCTGAACCGTCAGAGATACATATCGGTTCGTCAGAAGATTCTGGGCACGTCGCAGAAGTTATTACAATTTCATTTGCTGGCATCATATCATCTAGTATGAAGGGTAAGGCATTGCTAGAAGATTCTGGCTCTTTCTGCTCTCCTGTAGTTTGGTTAGATGGTACAGTGTCTTTCTGCAATGAGGATGCACAATTACTTACTGAAAGATTATTAGCAGCAGTTACATTTAAAACAGGGTTAAAAATTTTCAGCAGTATTTTTTGTGGTGTTCCTTCAGGTTTCTTTGGCTGTATATTTTGATAATAAGTACTATTTTGGACGAATTTAGGCTTAAGCAGCTGAGTCTTATTTGGCATCACACACTTGAAAAAAACAGCTTGTTTGCCATCAGGCAAGAGGGTATAAAGAGGTGGTTTTGGAAAAGTCTCGTTCTGCTGTTTTACTGAATCCAAGATATTCAACTTAGTGCCCTGATGCTCAGATATTACATTAGAAGTGGGAACAGCTTTCACGGAAGAATTTGCTGCTGATTTAATAATGTAAGGGCCTTTTAATGGCAAAGTATTTTCTGAGCAACTTTTCACACTCAAACAACTGCCAATGCTGGAACAAAGTGCAGGTGTCAGACAATTATTATTTTGTTCTACTTTTAAGAAAGGCATTCTGCAAGGCTCCTTAGTTGCAGTTCCACAAGCTTGAACACTCTCAGTTTTGACAGCGGGAACACCTTCAAGTTTCCCATTATTAAATGCCAAAAGCATCCCAGGTTTCTTGTTAAAAAGAAGAGAAGCAGGTACACCTTGTGCACTAACAAATGGAAGCGATCTTCCTGGCGAAAGGACATGTAACCCAGGCTTGTTTGCAATGTGCAATGGTACAAAAAAGCCTTTTGGGGTCTGTACATATATAGTATTCTTTGGTTCTGAATTTATAAGTGGATTCTGTATATATAAAGAACCAAAATTTTGTGTAGTGGCTCGCAGTTTGTCTTTTACAAGCTGCTGTGTTATTATTGCATCTGACTGAGTCTTAAGTAATGTGCCAATACCTGAAATTCTAGCTGTCTTCTCTGAATCTCTCATATCTTGTGACACTGACAGCATTTGTTTTTCTTTTCCACTACAATTTAAATTCAGATCATTTGTAGGTACATTAATCCCCACACTGGCAGACGGAATTGGAAAGATGCCTTGTATTTTGAACTCTTTTGAAGATTCAATGACTTTGCCTTCTCCTTCAAGTCTCTGATAGGACTGGTCATAATCAAGTGGCGGGTCTTTATTTGGAGAGTTAGCAGAGTCTTGTTTTACATCAGTTTTTGCTTTCAATCCATCCTGAAGTAACTGGTTTACTTCAGGTGGCAAAAATTCTGATGCCTGTTTGCTCTGGAGAGAGAAAACAGATGTGATTCTAGGCATCATGGGTGAGTCAACATTAGAAATGTCATCCCATTTAGACTTTTCAGTCATACTCTCTAAATCCTGATTTTCATTAGTATATAGGCTCTGTCCATCAATGTTTTGTCCTTTTCCTAAAACACATTCTTCTCCAATTTCAGTTTGTGTTTTTAAGGTTCCATCTTTAGTATGTAAAAGGCTAATAGATGCTAACAGGCTATCTGGGTTTGAGCTCTCCTTCCTCACTAGGGATAAAACCGATTCACTTATCGGTTGTTGAGAAACTGTCTTGCTTAATGAAGGTTCTCTTTGAGGGTTTTCACACATTGCCGTTCCTGAAAACCTACGACGTTTACTTAAATTATTCATTTTTGAGTAATTATGAAAAGGTAACGATCCCTGGTTGGGAGATTCGACAGGCAACTCAGGGTTGACATAATTAATGCAATAGTTATGCATATCTCCACTGTTGTATGCATTTGGTTTGACTATATCTGGACTTCTAATGGCAGTACCTAGTACCTCAGGGTGACTCTGAGTAATATGACTTCCCCATAAGTCATCATCTCTTGTTTCAAGTTTTGTGGTCAAGTTCACTGATGATGTAATCAATTCTGATGTTGTTGACAAAGAAGATACATTTTTTTCATCATCCTTTGTTTGAAGCATATTGTTCCTTTGAGATAGCAAAGTCATTTCTTTTTCTGAAGTTATTTTCCCCGGAAGTACAGGTGGATATGAAAGTGGAGTAGCTGCTTTCATGTAAACTGTGTCATTTAACTCAGTTGTTATTCCTGATAAAAATCCAGTGGTATCCAAAGTCTGTGGCTGCAAATGAGTACTATCCTTTGCAGTCTCTGACTGTGAGCCTGTTGAATATAAATTCTGTTTATTGGTAGGCAGCAACTTTATTACAATATGTTGTTTTCCATCCACCATCTTGAAGCCCATAAACTTAGCACTGTAGTTAGCAGGAACTGTTATTCTATTGTTTTTCACCATTAACACTGTAGGTCCTTGCACAGCATTCTTCAAGAAACCTGAAGTACAATTTGATCCCTCTTCAACTCTATTACATTGCCCAGTGGACAGAACAACTGGCTTTTCTGACTCTGACTCAGCAGGTTTATCATTATTCTCACCGTACAGTCTTTCACCCTTTTCCACATTTAAATGTTCCTGAACAAGATGACTCTGGTCTTCAGATTTAACCAGTGTTCTAGTCACTTTTCTAAGCACTTGAGTGTTCTTTTCCATACTTCGGTCACTTCCATTGATTTTCTTACGTTTCCAGAATGTCTTCCTTGATGCACCTATCTTGTATCTTTTCAATATTAGCTTAAGTCCTGCTGAAGTCTTTGCCATCCTTTTTTCATATTTGTCTTTTTCCAGTTTTTCTTTTGCATATAAATGTTCTTTGTGCAAAGTTATAACATGTCTTATAAGGTGCTCTCTCCTGGTAGCACCATAGTTACAATATTGACAAGTGAAGGGAAATGTACCAGAATGAACATAAAGGTGCTTCTGAAGCTCTCCTTTGGTAAAACATACATGATGGCATTTACCGCATTTATAATGGATTTCATTATGTCTATGAATGTGCTGAACAAATGTGCCAACATCCTGGGTGGAGAATTTGCACTTTTCACATTGAAAATTACCATTTTCACAATGTGTGGATGCAAAATGCTTTGTCAAGTCTAATAAAGTATATACACTCTCATTATTACAAATGTCACATTTTACTAAAGTGCTTCTATGGGTTCGTCTGTGTTGTTTGAAGACCTGGAAATCATTTGCTGAAAAACTGCACATTTCACAAGGATATGAAGGTAATTCACCATGGTGCCACATGTGAAAGTGTTTCTGCAAATCATTTGGACTGTATCGAGTACTATCTTGGCATTTTAAACAGTTGAAGTTGAGTATTTTTGCAGACATTTTTATACCCTCCTCAACTCTCTCAGACTTATGGAACAGCATACATTCCTCTACACGGTTTATAGTCTTTATACTGATAGATTTTCTTGCAGTCTGTGGTTTGCACTGAAATAATTTTCGGTACTTGTCAACTTCGTGTTTCAAGAGAACTTCATTTGGAATATTTATCTTCGGCAAATCAATTTTCACATTTTTTAGTTTATAATGAAAACTACTTTCTGAAATTTTTGGTTTAAGTACTGATCTCAAAGTATCAACTATCTCATTTTTCACATCATAATCTTTTTTTAGAGTACTCTGTTTTTCATCAAAAAATAACTGTTTCTGTTCGGATGGCATGATTTTACAAAAAATCCAAATTTCTTTTTTTTCCTGAAAACTCTCGAAGTTACTTGTGATTTATACAGGACACAATACTGTGCCAAGACATCTTCAAAATACGGGGATTTCCCACACATTAACTCACCTAAAATCAAACAAGAAATGAAATTTTCATTACAAAAGTGTGAGTAAATTTTTTCTTTTTAAATTCATTTTGAAACAAAGTAGGAATGTTAATCACATATAAATGAAAGATTTAATTCTGTTAAGTATTTTAAGAACAGCTTACCAAGATGTAACGGTTTGAAGTAGAAATAACACCATTCTTGAAATCAGGAAATACAAGCGTGAGTTCCAGCTCTGTTCTGTGACACTGGGCAAACATCAACTTCTCTGCACCTCAGTATATTCATCTATAGAAAACCACAACTGGATAAGAACTCTTAAGCTCAAAGATGTCTATATTGATACTGCAGGTTTTAAACAGATTTTGAAAAGGCTAACAAGAAAAGGATCCCTAAACTGAAGTTCCAATTATACATATGTGGTTCCAATGACACAACTGTAACATTCTTAGTTGATCCTTCAGTATTACTACCTTGTGAAAATTTCAACAAACTTCTCTCCAGATTTTCTACATCCTTAGGGCCTCAGGGATAACTTATGTTTAAAATAAAAGTTCCATTCATCTAACAGCAACAACAAAAAAACATTATCTGTTCTCTCAAATTATCATTACTAACTGGTAAATGTTAAGTAAGAGGAAATTAACAGAAATAGCACATACATAACAGGGTATTATAAAGTCCACCTACTACTTCTCTGGTTCCCTATGATTTTAGTTATTTAGCTTTTTGTACTTAGAACTCAGGCAGATAGTGAAAAGGAATGCCCTTGGCACATTAGAATGTATCCATTACAGTGTGTGTCCATTAATTCAAACACTTACTAGTTTGTGTTACTTTAGAGAAGTCTCAATATCTGTGTCTTAGTTTCTTCATCTATAAAATTAAAAAAATCCATTAGTACTTCCCCCACCTCCTTCAAAGAGTTGTTACAAATGATGCAGGCAGATTATTAAACATGCATTCATAGATTGACATTAATCAGTTCAGTTAAGCAGTCAAAGAACCATTGCATAATTTGAAAATTTATAATGTGTATGCTCTGCTGTGACTTTCAGACTGATTGTATACGAACCCTTTAAGTCTATGGCATAAATACACTGTAGAAATCACTGGCGTTTATATTTAAAAGGTTATTTAGCGAAGTTTCCTTTACTTTAACCAGTTTTATATTCCATATTACTAAGGTCAAAGAGGTCAGGAGTAAACTGGTAGATGGGAAAGGATAATACTGTTAGCATTATTAAAAACTACGAGAGAGGGTCTCCCTGGGAGCACAAGGGGTTAAGTCTCAGCACTATGAAGCTATCAGCAGCCACTGCAGCATAAGTTCGATCCCCAGCCAGGGAGCTAACCCACATGGTGAGGCAAACCTCTCCTGTCTCACCTGCTGCTCCCCTCAGCAGTGTATTTCAGTTGATCTGCCTGTTCTGCTCCCCACTGTTTCTGGTGAATCCTCTCATTCCCTGCACCTCTGGCCTACACCCTAGCTCCTGTATGCATAAATAAATAAATCTTAAAAAAAAAAAAATACAGGAGATGAAACAAACTTTAAAATCTCATGAGAGTGATGTGAGACTATTTGGTTATCACAGTACTAAAAGTACAAATAAGCTTGTTTTTTATTTTGTGATTTCTGTGTTGCTATAATTTCTCTGATTCATTCTTGCCTTTGGAAGGGAAAAGAGTGATGAACTAGCAAAAAATGGAATCTCAAAATATGTGATGAAGCTTTGTAAAACAGATACAAAGGCATTGAGGTATGATAATAAAAGCACTATATTTGCACATTTAAAAGATAATAGACAAAATCAGATAAGCCAAAAAAGACAAAGCATAAATCATGTTAAGCTTCAGCCAGGATGTCTATACAAAAGCCTCAACTTTAATGTTCAATTAATCTAAATATAACTAGAAACTTCCCCATTTTATAAATTGTTTATTGAGAGAAAGCAATTAAAAATTAACTACTTAATACTTTTGACATTTATTATTCATCAGATACATACATACTAAACTGATAATGAATTTCCTAGCAGGGTACCAGTTTACTGAATTTTTCATATACCATGCTTAATGCAATAAATATTAAAATTTTTATTTAAAAGTTTTCACAATGTCAAAGTTAAATGTAAAAATAATTTTTTAAAGAAATAATTGGCTAGAAAAGCACTCATTGACACCTGGTGGATTCTCCATACCAACTGAGAAGATTCCCAATGCTGTGGCACATTCACAATAGTGATAAGCATCATAATCATCAATGGAATCACCCACGGCATTACCAGAACTTAAGGGCAGAGGAGTTCAAATATGTGCAACATTTAAAGTATATCTATCAATGACTTGCCTCCATTTTCCAAATATGATAATTTGGCCATTATTAATAGGCAAGTTTTTCTACTACCATATAGAGGAAACTGTATTCCACACAAGAGGAAACTACCAAGGATATCATTATAAAAGGCAAACTGCTTCTTTTAGACACAGTCTAAATGTAACATGTGTCTAAAAACTATGTGTAACACTAAAGCTAGATTTTGATAATGCTTCTAAATACTATCAATTCCGGGGTCTCCCTGGTGGCGCAACAGGTTAAGACGCAACCTATGAGGCTGTCCGCAGCCACTGCAGCACAAGTTCAATCCCCCAGCCATTTCAATCCCCCAGAGCAACTCACATGGCGCAGAAGACCTCCCCTGTCTCACCTGCTGCTCCCCTCAGCAGTATATTTCACTCTGTCTGCCTGTTCTGATCCCTATTCTGTCTCTGATGAATCCTTTCACCCCCCACACCTCTGGCCTATGCCCCAGTTCTTGTGTGCATAACTGAATAAATTTTAAAAATAAATAATTCAATACTATCAATTCCATTTTAAAATATCTCTACAATTAAAAATTTTCCCGTAACATATCCAAGCCTGACAACTAGTGTAAAAAAATGTTTTTCAATACCTCAATCAATTAACACTAGTAAATGCCTACCATAAATGTGAGGCATTCTGATCGATGCTATGGAGAGATTAAAAAACATGGTCCCTGCTAACACTAAAGGCCGAGGTAGGTCATATATATTAATACACTGCTTAATCAGAGTTGACCATCCAGCAACCTCACCTTTCCAGTACACACAGAAAATAATTAAAATCAATAGGTCACATGGCAGATGAAACAGATGTCACAAAGTTCACCCATTAAAGTGTGTGACCTTTATACTACACTCCCAGACTTCAAGCTATACTACAAAGCCATAATAAGAACAGAGTGGTACTGGAACAAAAACAAGACACACAGACCAATGGAATCCAACTGAAGGCCCAGAAATAAAATCAAATATATGTGGTCAACTAATTTGTGAAAAAGGAGCAAAGAATATGTACTTGAACACGGAAGTCTCTTCAATAAATGGTGCTGGGAAAACTGGGCAGCCACATAGAAAAGAATGAAACTAGACTAGACACCACACACAAAAACCAACTCAAAATGGACAAAAGACTTGAATGTAAGACCTGAAACCATAAAATACAAGAAAAACACAGGCAAAACACTCCATCACATATACCTCAGAAACATTTTTGAAGATTCATCTCCAGAAGGAAGGAAAACAAAAAAGATAAAAGGCTAGGACAAAAAAGACAGTAACCAAAACAAAGAGACAACCTAAAGAATGGGAGAAAGTATTTGCACACTATACAACTGATTAAGGCACTGACATCAAAGACCTACAAAGAGCTTACACAACTCCACAAAAACAAAGCAAACAACCCAATCCAAAAAGCTATTTAGCAGAAGAGCTAAAAGACACTTCTCCAAAGAAGAAATGCAAATGGCCAATAAGCATATGAAAAAAGGTCCAACATTACTTATTATCAGGGAAATGAAAATCAAAACTCCAGTGAGATACTACCTCATACCTGTAAGAATGGCCCGTATTAAAAAAAAAAAAAAAAAAAAAACCTGGAAACAATAAATGCTAGGAGGATGGATGATGAAGTGTTTTGCCTATTTTTCCTCTATTGTATTTTATGAGGATATACAGAAACAGGAACCCTCTTACACTGCTGGTGGGAATACAAACTGGTCCAGCCACTATGGAAAGCTGTGTGAAAGACCCTCAAAAATACTAAAAATGGATCTACCTTATGATCCAGCGATTCCACTTCTAGGAATCTACCCAAAGGACACAAAAGCATTAATTCAAAAGGACACCTGCACTTCTATATTTACTGCAGCACTATTTACAATAGCTAAGACAGAAACAACCTAAATGCCCCAAAACGAACAAAGGGATCCAAAAGTTGTGGTACATATACACAATGGACTACTACTCAGTGATCAAAAAACATAAACTCATGCCACTTACAACAATATGGATGGTGCTGTAAGGGGTTATTACGCTAAGTGTAATAAGTCAGAAGGGAAAAAAATACCAAATGGTTTCACTTATAGATGGAATGTAGGAAAACCAAACAAAGGGTCAAGAAAAAGATAAAACTTGCGTGCTGACTAGAGATTAGAGGCAAACAGCATGGGGAGGAGGGGAGAAGGTCAAACAGGGGAGAGGAGAGCACAAGGAACTATGGTGCTTGCTCACATGTGCTATGGCGGCAGGACAATCACAGCGACACGCCTGCAGGGACAACAATGACATAAAAGAAGAAACTTTTATAACTTCAACAATTAATGTTGAATGTCAGTATTTTGTGTATGAGTTCGTATATTTCAGGTAATTTTGAGTTTGTTTTCTGCCCTTAAAATTTAAGTTTATAGACTCTATTTTGCTGTCAACTATGTTCAATCTGTAGCAACCAGAAGCAACTAAAGATACCTGATGGCAAATTATGCTACAGTTGCCACTTATTAGTAAAAAATAACAGATAACATTAAAAAATAAAAATTTTATAATTTTAATTCTCCAATGAACTAACTAATGTTCTTCATTATAGTGCAATCTCGACCCAGCCAACAAGGATTACTGATTTTTAATGTCCTATTTAAATTACTGCCTTTTACTTATGTATTATTACCTCATGAGATTTAACCTATATATCATAAAGCCCTGAAATAATACTATTTAGATGAAGTGAGACTGTTCCTTTAAAATAATATGGAGTTTTCTGCATTAAAATAGCAAGTCATTTGACTTCTCCTCTCTCCCAATTTCCACTGAAACATAAACAAAAAAATGTAATACAGAAAATCCTGCAAAATGGTTACAAACTGGGCCTCCCTGGTAGCACAGGGGTTAAAGTCTAATTGTTGTCAAGCTATCACCAGCCACTGTGCAGGAGTTTGATCCCTGGCCAGGGACCTAACCCACATGGCACAGCAGACCTCTCCTGTCTCACCCACCGCTCCCCTCAGCAGTCAGTCCTCCTGTTCTGCTCCCCACTCGGTCTCTGGTGAATCCTCTCATCCCCCACACCTCCGGCTACACCCCAGTTTTTGTATGCATAAATCAATCGTTAAAATAAAATGGTTAGAAACTAAAACATTCCCTACAAATACTACAAGGTGTTGGGTATGAAATGGTTGCAAGACAGAGGAGCAAAAATAAATGCTGACCTACTGCCAAGCCCCAATTTAGAACAGGAAGTTGACTAGGGGACATTTATTCAACCAATATTTAGTATCAATAAAGCAGGCTCTAAGTAAGAAAATGTTGACAAATTCTGCCCACTTCCACCCTTAACATACCTTGGGATGGAAGGTGAGGGCTTGAAAGGAAGACTGTGTAGAGTACTTTGGGGGTGAGAGGAGATTTGTGCTGGGATATGAGGAGGAAGAAAATGAATCCAGAATTCTCAGATCAAACAGAGTTGGGGGTTGCTAGCACCAGCTGCAAGGAGAGATGTAAAGAGGAAATTATTTTTAAACAAAAGATAAATCTTCCTTATATGCATGACCACTGTCTTCTTGTTGAAGAATTCTGGTTTTTTTCCCCATATAAATAGTCTCTAAGCTATTAGAAAAATTACGTTTACTCTTAACTTCTTCCCCCGCCCCAAACAAAAAAACTGAGGCCATCTTGGTTTATTTTAAGAATTCATCTCAATTAACAATGCAACCAAAAAAGATAAATGGGTAGAAACATCCCTTTGGAAACAGCAGCTTAAAAGAGGGAAATAATCTGAACACTTGGAGAAATCTACCCCCTTCCCTCCCATCCAGCAGTGAAAAACAGTAATTACAGTAAAAGTTACTTTAGGAAAAGATTTCAAAAATGAAATAATAATTGACAGTTTCAGTTAAAATATGAGATAATACACTGAGGAAAAAAAAAGAATATACTACCATGAGAAAGAGATCAAAGTCAGTAATCTTTTTTATTAATTTTATTAATTCTTTTAAGACTTGAATTTTCAAAATCAAAGGCTCCCAAAATGCCAGGCCAGATTATTAGTGGGAGGAGAATGTAAAACTCAGTATCTACAACTTGTCCTAGTAAAATGTTTACGTTTAAAAAAAGTTTAAAAAACTCCACCAAAAAACAGATGGAGTTAGCCTAAAACGATGATCAACTTTTCAGCACCAACACCAATTTTAATCATATACCAAGGTTAATCAGAAATTGAATTTATAATTCTAAATACTAAGACAACAAAATAACATCTGCAGAATTTTGGGGGGACAGAATTAACCCAAGAATTAATTTTATACCAGAATAACTTAAATGTGTGGGAAAACCACAATTTAGATATGCAAGGGTTCAGAGAGTATCTGTATTACCTACATATTTTTCCTGGAAAAAAGTTTTATGTAATACTTCAGGCAAAATCAAATTTCAATCAGAAAAAAGAACTGAAAAAAGGAGATAATGTGATACAGAAAAAGTATCAACAATATAGTCTACAAAATAGAAATAAATGTAAATATTGTTGATACAGTTAAAAAAAAAAAAAGACTGGACAAGGGAAACACTGAACACATGACAAATACATAAGAAGTCCTTTAAAAAGCATAAATAAATGCAGAACAGTAGAGATGACAATTAGCAACAAATTTACAGAGGCCAGAAAATAGATCAGTAAGTAGTGAATGACCTCGTAGGCTCCAGAAAACTAAATCCCAAGCAGACAGTGGGGAAAGTTAAGAACTAACTCATTCTATAGTCCGTATGTTCAAAAGGTGTAGGAATTGGCAGCGAATAACTGAAATGGGAAGAAGGGAGAAAGAAGCTAAGAAATTTGAAGTAAGGTTGCTTCTGAGTTTTGGTTAGATACTAAAATTCCCTGCCCCACTCCCTGAAAATAGGTAGCTGCTGTTCCCCGTACACAGCGTAAGTCTGGAGGTTTATTCTCCGTGGAAAGCAAAAGAGAAGAATCTCTGACATAGGGGATACTCGACACATCTGAGAGTGGACACCACACCAAACACAAGAGGATTAAATACCATATATGTTGAGACACAAATCCCACCCAATAATCCCTTTCTCCCCTCCCAGGTTAGGCTAGACACAGTGCTATTAAAAATATGACCTGCCAATGGTCCACGAACCATTTGTCTCCAGTTCTTGACAAGATATGTACAGAAATTATGTATTAGAAACTGTTTACAAAGTTAGATATATATCTGTTAAATCTAACAAAAATTAAGACCTGTTTCATAGGACTTCATTTTTAAAAACTCATTTTCTACTAATAGAGGCACTCTGATATACCAATGAAGGGATTATAAGCTAACACAACCTTTTTAAGAAAGTTTGCAAAATATATATTTATAGTCATTATAAACATATTAAAATAATTCATACCATTTAATCTACATTATATATTTGATTATGGCTTACATGTATAATATAATGCTCAATATTAAATAAATTCATAGAAGTGTTTTTTTATTTAGCAATTAGTTTATGAGCTATGACGTTACCTAAAGAATAATTAAGGGTGTTGATATCACCAGAATAACAGTGAAGTATGCAATTTTATTATACAAATATAAAGTTGAATGTTTATATCGAAAAATAAATGGTATTCAACCAATAATATGCTTCCTGATCTTGGTACACTGTTAAAAAAAATACAACAGTAAAAAATTGTATAAAATCAGTATAAATTTGGCCATATTTTTCTATATATTATACAATAAATGTATAGTAACTATAATGTTCAGATTTTTTTACACTAGTTAAGCATATTGTTCTTAAAGTGCTAGATTTGATGTTCTAACTATTTAAAATTTTCTTGTTTGATGTTATCTTTAACAATTTTTGCACTGGTGTTATGGAGAATTTCTACTATCTCATCTGCTCTGCAGTAGTTCACCAAACATGAGAACTGTTCCCTCCTAAAATTACACAGATTACACCAACAATACCATACAGGTGTGGCTCCTCTTTAGACTGTAGGCCTTGTAACTTTTGCAAGTTCTTCTATGATTCCTGAGCTTTTTGGGTTTTCCACTGCTTGAGTCACTTTTAGCAATTTATAGGTTCCTTGAACAGAATTGATTTCCTTCATACATTCTAAGTATGACCCCATAAACTACACTTTTAACAACCTATCCAACAGAAATAAAAGCATAACATATAGTTGTATTTAAGTATCACTTAAATGTTCATAAGCAGGAAAATTATGAAATTTATGGAACATCTACATGAAAACATTATAAAGATAGGAATATATATGAACTGACTTGGAAAGATATTTACTGTGAACTTTTTTAGTTTTTAAAAAAGGAAGTTAAAGATTAAGACATGCAATACATTTTTAAATGAGGAGGAAAGAACCTCATATCTATGTTAGGAAGAAAAACTCTACATGCTTATATAAGCATAAACAAATCTATAGAAAGATATCATCCAAACTATTAACAGGTTAATTGTTGTTTTTTGTTTATTTGTTTTTAAGGACTGACAGCATGGCATAGCAAAACACAAACCAAAACAAATGGAAGAAAATCATCAGCTCTCCTAAGTACCTTGATTGTAGCCAAAGGGGTACTGTCATTAGCATATTTCTTTACTAAGTATTTTCTATATATATATATTCCTATCCTTGAATTCTAGAATTCTAGGAATTGCTTTAAGTACCCCCTTTCAGCTTAAAACAGCTTAAGCTAGTTCTATGACTTGTAACAAAAGGTTCTTAAGATATTGAATTGACAGATCAGTGTTGATTGTATTTACTTTACATAAAAGTAGGTTTTGTGATGAACCCTTTAAAGAGCAGTGGGACATAAACATGTAACAAAGGAGCAAAGCCTGCCAAGACCAGAAAAACAAAATACAGAAACATTAGAAGAAAAGCATTTTTCTCCCTCAGCTCAGCACAATCTAGACTGGCAAAAGAATGCATAATGGGAGGGTGAGAGAGACAGGTTGCAGAGGACAGATTTCAACTTGAGTGGAAAGTAATAGGGAGCCTTTGTTAGATCATGAGCAGTGAGATTATAAAAGAAGTATTTAACAAATATCATCAGATTTTCTAGATAAGACATATTGGAGAAAGTGAGCAAAAAAGGAAGTGAGAAAATCAGAGGAGTAAGTGGTAATCCAAACAAAAAGTGAGGAAAGAGAATTGGCAGCACTGGCAGAGGTTAGGATTCATGAGGTAGAAACAAAGAAATTTTTTAAAGATATTCCCAAAGTAAAATATCAAGGATAAGGAACACTTGAATAATGACTCAAAAAGTACCATTCCTGGAGCTTTTTGTCTGCTTTCCATAACAAATTGCTGAGAACCATAGCAAACAACGTCCTACCAGCTGTTCTCAAGCCTAGTCAGAAGCGAAAAATTGACACTCTGTGTGACCATCAGCATCCCTATCATCCAGCAATTAATTTTAGTTCAATGCTTCAAATATTCTTCAGGTCCAGGGTGCTTTCAACTGTGAGAACCCATATAGTCATTTTGTTTTTCTCACTTACAGTAGTTTTTATAACTACATGAGACAGTCAATACTTTATTTTAAAACAGGCTTCGTATTAGATGATTTTGCCCACCTGTAGGCTAATGTTAAGTGTTCTAAGCACGTTTAAGGCAAGCTGTTTGGCAGTTTAGGCATATTAAATGTATTTTCAACTTATTACAGGCTTATCAGGACATAACCACATAAGTGGAGGAAAATCTGCATATTGTAATTGCTTAACAAAAAACTAAAATACTCTGACTTTAGCTTAACCCTACTTGTGACTTAGTATATAGCTGTGTAACTTGTTACATTACACAGATAGATTAGCCATTATTTTCGTATAACTGAAGACAGAACAAAAATGACATTCAGAAGAAAAAGCTTACTACAAACATGTAAGATTCTGCCTGAATGGAATGGATAAGGGGAAAAAAACCTCTTATTTTCAAAGCAGAACCCAGTTCAGTACCCTCAAATTAACTATTATGTTTTTATGACTTGGAACATTTTCAGCTTAGGCTTTTTGTACATGTTTCGATTTTTTTTTTAAGTTTGTTTGAAAGGTTAATACCTATCATATTACAAAGAAGTGAAAAGAATAAATTTTGTAGAATTTCTACATATAGTAAAAGCTTGCTCTCTTCAAATCACTGTGGTTTAAGGGACCTCGCTGGTGGCACAAGGGGTTAAGCACAGCATTGTGAAACTATCCACAGTCACTGCAGCATGAGTTCGATCCCCAGCTGGCCAGGGAGCTACCCACATGGCATAGCAGACCTCCTGTCTCACCAGCTGCTCCCCTCAGCAGTGTACTTCAGTCAATCTGCCTGTTCTGTTCCCCACTCTGCCTCTGGTGAATCCTCTCACACCCCCATCTCTGGCCTGTACCCTAGTTCTTATATGCATAAATAAATAAATCTTTAAAAAACAACAACTCCCAATCACTGTGGTCTAATGTGCTTAAAACACAGATAAGATTCTGAA